CATTTTCCCGAAAGATATATTTCAGTTATCTTAAAAAGATGCTACATGTTTCTTCCATATTCTATCTACTACCTCACATAACTCATTTCCATAATTCATTTACATGAAATAAAATGTCTCTTTAGTAATATAGCCTTCTCTTCATTTCAAAATTTTATGTTACTCTTTTGCTATTTCTAGTGATGAATATATTGAGAGGGGAAGAACTTTTAAAATTTTAAATACAAATATAAATACTGAATAAAAATAGAATATATAAGCAATAAAAATATGAAAGGGATCAGATTTTAACAATCGCCGAAAATTATTTGTTAAGGTTTTTTATTCTCTCGCTGAGTTTGCAAGTCCACCGCTCTGCTATTGCAGTCACTCCTACTAACCCATTTCTTTTTGTATCTTAAGCTTTATTATTAAGCATCATTTTCAGCATGCTGACTGTATATGCAAATCAATAGCAAATCTGCAAAAATTGTAAAAGGAGCATTTGTTTAGAATATCCAATGCAATGCTAAGTGTTAGCATGCTTTTTTTAATTTTTTTCAGTCTTTTCTCAGTTTGTTTTATCAGTGTTCAATTTTCTTACTAAGATGGTTTGACAAAACTTCTTTTTGTGTTTTTATTAACATTTTGTGTGGTTACTTTGATTATTGAATATCACATTCTTGGCATGTACGGTGCATAAAATTCAATTCAACAGCAAAATCACAAAATACTTAAAAACTTCTGTAGAACTTCTGATAGACAGTCTCACCTGCTGGAAATAATTTTTTTAAAATTCCCTATAGTGTTGCCACTGCTTGCTTTGAAATTGTTGAGTTTGTTAATAAAAAATTTATTAAATTTTTACAGTGTATGAATGTATGAAATAGATAATAAAACAAATTCCAAATGTGGGTTTCCAGGTGCCTATGTTTGGGTGGAGGACTCTTTCAAAATTTGATGCCTCTAAGTACTGTTGTTTTTTCAGGCTGCTAGAAACATAGATACATTCATACAGATTCTTCATTATCTAATTTATTTAAATATAATACAGAGCGATAATGTTTGGTGGCAACAGTTTGAAAAGTGAAACAATATAATTCAGTGTTTTGAATGAATGCAAAATCCCGTTTTGAGACTAATATCCCCTTCGGAACTAATGTTTGAGATAATAACAAATGGAAAGTAGTCTTTAATAAGCTACAGATAACTATAACAATATTATTTCTTTAAAAGAACTTACAATAAGAATAACATCCTCCAATAAGAATACACAGAAATATTAATATTACAATATCTAATAAGGTATATTCCATTTCGACTTTCCTGTAAGTTTAATCTTATCTATTCTTATTGTTGTCTCTGCTATTTTTTAAGCATAAATCATCCATAAATAGGTTAAAATTTCATGCCTAATGATGATTATTGAAGAAATTGTCATCTAATTATGTGTACCTCCAACTTAATTTATGGACACGTTTAATTTATACGGACTGTAACCCCATAAAACCTCCGTATAAGGCGGGTAATCAGTCAGAAGTTCCCTAGAGAGGGGTAAGGAATATTCACTTGCTACTGCCCGGGCTCCAACACTACCGAAAAAAGATTCTCTCATTGAGCTACTGCTACCTCCTGGGCACACTGGGTCACCACTCTTGGTTTCTGGGTTTCACAGAAAGTGGGACGTGCATGCTTGGAGCTTTGACTAGTCGTCAGAAATGCTACCTGCCAGTACTACACAGGGTGCCAAAAGCCCGATGTTAATGAGTCTTACATTTAAGATTCATCCTTCCTTACCCGGTGGCCCACCCAGACGAATCCGGGGGCAGTTTCCTGCTATACCCACAAGTCATAGGGAACTGCCAAGCTCATATGTGCCCCCATGGCCGAGACTGCTTAGGTACAGATCCTAGCCAGGATTTCACAGAGTTCTCTGCGTCGACTCCTGAAGGGGGTATAATTATTTGGGAAGTCAAACAAGAATCAGCATTGTGTTTGTAAATTTGAGTACTAGTTTCGATGGTTTAACTGCAGAACCATCGAACCTAGTCCTGCAAAGTTTACAAATGTAACGCTGATTGTTGTTTGAATTCTCCATCATTCATAAATAATTAGAGAAGGTGAATGTACATTGAATATCAATTTGTGCTTGTCTTACTGTTTGGTTTCTTGTATTAAGTTGGTATCAATTTCAAAAATCAGAAGGGAAAGATTTAGAATAAATTTCACAATTAAATTTCGAGGGTTTGTTGTGTTTAGCAAGATTTTAAGCAGTCACTTTAGACAAGAAAAATTATGACAATATCTTAAAAATTTTCAGAATCTGTTGCTAAAATGCTAAAGGGAAAAATACACAAGCAAATGCATTATCTTTCACTTGTGTCATTTTCCTAGCTTATACTGGGCACAGTCATTCAAACTTCCTGCCTTGCAGCATAATGTAATAGCTTATTTATCTTTCAAATTATTTTAAGAAGTGCTCATGGGAAGATACCAACCCTATTGGTAAAACCAGGAGGTTTCTGAGTTTTCATCTCATCTCCACTGCTTCTAGTAAATTTCGGATTCTTTCTGTTTTTATTTGTTTTAAATTATATCCCTTTCAGTTGATCACTAAATGTTGACGCAAAAGGAAATGCTATAAAGAAAATTTTGATAACAAATTAGTAAAAAAATGCAAATCTGTCATCTCTATATGAGACTTGAAATTATACCTAGTGATTTTCCCAGGGCTGTGGAGTCTGACTATGGCTCCTGGAATTTTGAAGACTCTGACTCCCTCATATACATTTAAGATTCATCCTTCCAAGAAAAGATGAAGAAATCAAGAAAGATGTAAAGAGATCAAGAAAGATGTAAAGATATACACATGTGTTACAGCTTATTGTTTTTAAATATAAAAGAAGTAATTGATGCTACAGAAAAAAAAAATTTGATGGCATAGCAGATTATTTATATTAAATAGGATTTATTATGAAATGAAAAACTGGCATTAGTAATTTCCAAGAAACAGTATGTCTTTAGCAAGATCTTCTTTGATAGAGGACCGTAGATCCGATTGATAAACTTCAGAGCTGAGAATAGTCTTTCCACACTAACTAGAATAGGAGGAAGGGCTGTTACTGTTAGGGGCTACTTATTTTAACTTTTCAAGATAGGTAAGTTCTAAAAGAGGTGTCTTGCAAGAGTGATCATATTTCTCTATTTTTCAAGTAATCTTGTTAGTATTTTTTCATTTTTTTATCTAAAGGCTCTTAGTTCTTTAATTTCATTCACTTTGACTTAGCCTTTTTAATATTATCCAAAACTATTTCTCAAAATCTAATTCATCATTGGAAGAGGATGATAGAGACTCAGTTGTAATGTCTGCAGTCTGACTGTCCTGATTTGAATACTTCTGTTGTTCTAAGAATAATTTCACTCTTAGTGAAAGTTCATCGATGACTTTCTTTGCCTTTTTATTTTGTTCATCATCCAACAAAATTCAGTGTTTTGGATCTACATATATGTCATATAATATGTCAATAAAATAAAAAATAACTGAATATTTATTTTTATATAGTCCATAAATAAAAAAATAATAACTCTGTTAGTCATTAATTTTTTTTTTCGATTCAATTTAATTTCATTTCAAATTCAAACTGTCCAAGAAAAACTGGAGTCCGAGTCGACATGCTTTTGGCGACTCCAGCTCCGACTCTTTTTACCCCAAAATCTGCCTGATTCCGACTCTGACTCCAGAGCCGTGGATTTTCTGCGTAATTTACTGATTAGTTTCTGTTCAGTATTATCCATTTTAATTCACCAGAAATATGCAAAACATTTTATAATCGTTAAATAATGTTTGGCAGATAAATTTTAGTGTTTAATTTCATTTTAAATCTTTAAATGTTGTGTTACTAATTTAATTTTCTCGATTTACACTTTAATTTAACCTGTATCACATAATTTTGATAAATGAAAGCTTTTCAATCCCTGTTGGAGTTTTTAGCATTATAAATTTTTAATAAAATTGCATAAGCATATAAAATCAGTTAAAAACACAGAATAAAATTCAAAAAAGTTAACATTTTGCTCCTCAGTATGATAGTATTATTAGCTTTTTTATCTGAGTGACTCATCCATCATAAAGAGATTGTGAAATTTTTCAATTTGAAGTTCTTTTAACATTGTTGTATTGCTGCACAGCACAAAAACTTCCTGGTTTTTAATTTTTCAAAATTGGAAGCTATGATCTTAGGATGTATTATTTTCCCAATTAAAAGTTCAAAGAGATAAAAAATATATGCATTAGCCAGGCATATATTTTTCTCTGATAATTTTACCTTTTGTGTATAGTTCTGAGAAACTGTAAATATTAGGATTTATTATTATTATTTGTCCAAAGAGGCTTTGTCCCCGAGGAACTATTGTTTTTATTTTGCGATTTTCCGTCGAATCACTCGGAATGTCCGTTTCACTTTTCAAACTGTTGCCAGCAAATAGTGTCACCCTGTAATATATTTGAAGAAATTTAATAATGAAAAATTCAGCATAAATGTATGAATGTTTCTCACATTGTGATAAAATAACAGTACCTAGAGCCATCCAATTTTTTATTGCCGTAATCCTACTGTGAATATGGGCATCTGGAAGCCGAAATTTGGAATTTGTTTTATTATCAATTTCAAATTTTTGGAAAAATTAATGAATTTTTTATTAACAAACTGTAGTGATTTCAAAGCAAGCAATGGCAATGTTGTACAGGAAAACATTTTTATCTCCAGCGTGCGAGACTATGTGTCGGAAATTCTAAAGGTATGCTGAATTTAAAATTATTTTGCAATATTACCATTGAACTGAATTTTATGGTTTAAGTGCGAAGAACATGATATTTAATAAATAAAGGTAAATCACAAAATGTTACAAAAACACCCCTTTGTACGTAATTTAAAATCTAAAACCTTTCAGATTTTCTTTTTATTTATTTATTTTATTATTATTGTCACTGAAATTTTATAATATGTAATATATTTTTGCAGTGGACCTATAAGTGCATCTGATGAGACACTGACCAATCAAAATGTCTTCCAACTTGATCAGAAAATATATAGAAACCTTGATCAGGGGACGACTGAAAATGCTATTTGGAAAATTCTCAGGGAAGTAAATGGTGAAGCATACACTTTTAGGTATGATTGTATTTAAGGTCTTTTCTTTGAAATCTGTATTTTCCTTTTAGAAATTTATTTTATTAACCTAAAACTAGCATAGTTTAATTCTTTCATAACTAGTGCCACTCATATCCAACATCTGATAAATCCTTTATACTGGCTAACATTGTTTATATCCAGTATTTACTAAATGCTTCGTGTTGCCTAGTACTGGTTATATACAGCATCCACTAACTGTTTCACATAGGCTAGCAACAGTTGCAGTTACACTATAGATAATCTGCAGGAAAAGTTTTTGATGGGAGTAAAGTTATCAGAATATGCATAGTTTATATAGGATATGCATAGTTTATATAGGATATGCATAGTTTAAAAATATTAACTACAGTAACTGGTAACTGATAACTAATAGTGTAGAGACATTAGGTTATTTCGATGCTAGGTAAATGAAAAATGAGCAATGCCCTCGATAGGACTCGAACCGTGGACCTCTTGAATACGTGCCCAGCGTGCTGACCACTACACTACAAAGGCATGCTAAGAAGGCAGGAGAAATACCTTATATACTACCCCTTTTAAAGGGCAACTGGAGTTTTTAGGCGACCCTATTGCCAAATCCTGTGTGTGGAGAATCATCATCCACCACCCTTTTTAATTCGAGCACTACTATCAGAACTAGTATTTTGTCTAATGGCTTTGGCAAACCTGTGGGTGTCCTGAGTAGTAAAACAGTGAATTTACTTTAAGCTATGTCTATTGAAATTGTAGAAGATATGACACAGATGGGAAGGGTTTAATTACCCTTTATTCTTCACAGTTTATAGCCTTTCCCGCACTTCGGGATACAAAGAGCACTACCTGTGATCTGAATGTAAAAAAATAAGAGCTACGAACTGACTAAAATAAGTAAGAACTAAACTCAAATGCTTTACAAAGACTATTAACACAAAGATTGGCCTTTTAATCTTTATGTATGTAGTACACAGAATGCAGGAAAACTACAATACGTCTTCAGTATCAAGAGGACTAAATTTCTGCCCTTAAATGTAGACAGCAACTGACTGAAAAGCATGTATGAAGTAAGGTGGCGAGAAGTCTCTCTCTCTCTAACCCTTCTTGGCTAAAAGCCACAACTTAAATACTTTAACAGTTTTGCAACTTAAATACTTTAAGAGTCAATTTGCGTACTGAAACTAACCGTGTTTATTCTAGCCGGAAGTGAAAAATAAGAGGGGAGAGTAAAGTTTTAAAATAAAGTATACGTTAGTAAAACTTAAAATCCTTATAAAGTAAAGTAATAAATCAGCAATGACATTACAAATTAACCAAAAGAGTTAGTTGTTACGTACAGAAGATCTTTAATTCCATCTCCTTTTTTAATATTAACAAGTGTTTTAGGTTTAGTCTTCTTTAAAATGGAGTGTAAAAGTCAGGAAAAACAGCAGCTGGAAAAAGAGACCGATTCGGAAAACTGTGATGAAAATGAATTGTATATAAATAAGGTGTAGTGAAGAAAAAGGCAAGTAAATGCATTGAATATATCAAATTCAAAAACATGTGAAACATTGCATGTACATCGAAAACATGTAGGCCAGTCGTTCATCATTTTATGCAAGAACTGTAAGATATAAGCTTTTTGAGAGACATTCATTAGTTGTGTACTAATGGCTATTTCGAACGCTACAAAAAGGTTAAAATTTTATACAAATGGATATAAGATTTTTATGTTTTTGTTATTTATGTCATATTTGAACAGCCCTTTTGTCAATTTTCTTTTGCCACTATTGAAAATGTACTATTTTATTCCTTATTTAGTGGATTATATTACAAATGGATATAAAATTCCTGTTTGATTGTTGTGTAGTCATATTTGAACATCCCTTTTATGAATTTTCTTTTGCTGCTATTGAAATTTTAATATTTTAATGTATTAGTTGTTTTCTTTGGGATTTGTTTGAATGCTAATTATTTTTAAAGATGTTTATGATTCATTTCTTTAATTATAAATTTAACTCTATTCTAAAAAGAATCTGGGAACACAATTTTTTCATTTGTTACTTATTGATGGGAACTGGATAACCCACATAGTATTTGCCCAGTTTTGTTACTAGTAAAGTTATTGAAAGTAAAACTGTTGTAGCACTGCTAGAGTAAAAACAAGTTTGGTCATTATTCTTGGGGTAAGAATAATAAGATTTCACTTGTAATCATTTGCCCTCTCTTCATAGTCATGCAATTTATTGCAATTATGTCTATACATCTGTGGGATTCTTATCTCTTGAATTTCTTTCCCAGTTTTGTCTTTAAAAAGGTGTTCTTCAAAAAGTGTAATAATACTATTTAGCTCTTTCTTTGAAAATGAAGCTAGTTCATTTAGAACTTTTTGTGTAGTTAAATTTTAAATTTTCTTCATTATTTGTATAACAGTTTTATGTTGAAACCTAAGGAGAATCTGCTTCATTTGCATCTATTTAATTTTTTATTAGTTTTCCAACATGCATATGAAATTTGAACGAGCAGAAGTTTAGATTTAATAAAAGCTTGCGAGTGGCTGTTGCCATAAAAAAGAAGTAATATGTTTTAATTTCACTTTCAAATGGCTGAGGCTAACTGACGTTTTTGTGATATTTTTAATCATATTAAATGCAAAATAACTATCCATTAACCATACAGATATCTCAATCCATATAGATAGCTGCTGCTAACTAGGGCATTGACAACTTAATAATGAGCTTTGGCTATGGAGAAGTACTTTTTGAGTATTATGTTTGAGAACTGCTATCAGTGGTAGTAAAAAGTGCTATGAACTTGAAAGAGAAGAGGAACATCGTGCAGCTAGCTGTATGATAGACTGGAGTCACATTTGAGGTCTTTAAAAGTGACTGGCATAACTACTGATAAGTATGCCGCCATGTTATTTCCGTTAGTGCAGGGTTTCTTAAACCTTTTTCAGTCGCGAGCCCTCTTTATCAATAAGATTTTTTTTGCGACCCCATAATATTTGCAAAAATTTTGTGGGACCCCCCCCCCCCCCCCGTAAGTATTGTGCAAATCCGAAATTTTTTTCACTGGTAATATACTATTGCAGTTTTAGGTCATTAACTTTAATTTCTTATTTTAAGACATAGAAGAATGTGAAAATTTGAAATAAGTAACAGACGAAATGACAGTGTCATATGCAAAGCAAGGAAAATGAATGTTTATATTGTAAAAAGAATACATCAAAAAAAATTTTTTTTGTCTGTATTGTCTTATCTTTATCTATTTTCAGATATATTGTGTAAAAATATTTGGCTATTCTAAAATTATTATAATAAGTTAAAGAAATATCAAAACTGCTAAAATTTTTGGCGCCGCCCCTGCTGCAGGTCCCCGATCGGGATCCGACCCACAGTTTAAGAAACCCTGCGTTAGTGGAATCGCGCATTTCTGAAAACTTTGTTAAGGGTTTGGTTACATAATACAATGATAAATAAAGAAGAAAAAGACACTTGTGGCAATAAACTCTCCCAGTTATTGTCATTTCTTTGTGTGGAAGTTGAAGGCAAGGAACAAATTTCTTTATCTAAAGCTGGTTTTAAATCACATGAAATTTCAAATAAAAATCAAAAGTACAGAAAAAAGCGAAAATTTCTGTTCCAGTGGCTAACAATCTAGAATTGTATACTAAAATTGTAAAACTGTTTGTGTATTCTGTGGGAAAATGTTTGAGACAGCTTTAAAGGCCAAAAAGTGCCTTTTAAGAAAAAAAGAGATATTTTAAAGAAAAATAATACCTGTTTTGTATATTTGAAAATCAGGCATTGTTCAAACATTTGCAAAGCCAATGTTTGCCATATATAATTTGTGTAAGGAAGCAGTGGACTATATTATGTCCTCAACTGTCTAATAATGATAAGCAGGTTAATTCAGAGACTTGTTATGTTGAAGAAAATGTAACGTCGTCTAACCAAAGCTAAACAGAAGTTCCACAAACTCTGCTAGTGTCTGGAAAAGCAAATGGGAAGAGAAGAATTGTAAAGCCTTATTTGACACAGGATCACAACAGTTGTGTATTCTTAAATCTACCAGAAAACAAATGGAGGTGACTGCTCAAGTGAAAATTTAACATATTTTGTGTTTCAGTGGCATAGCTAGAAGAAGGCAAGGAGGGACATCTGTCCCTGGGTGCTGCATACATGATGGTGCAAATTGATGTTGTGCAATTTTAGAATTAAATGTTTTCCATTCTTGGCAAGCAAGAGGTGGCATGAAATCTTCAGTTGTTCCCAGGCTCTGAAAATCCTAGCTATGATTCAGTTGTGTTTAGTGGTGTTAGCTCTAGAAAGCAACATAAATGCTCCAGAGTCTTGGTGAGTATTAAAGAAGAATTACTGTTGCAAAATACAAATTCTTTACCAGCAAGTTATTTGTGGGCACATTCCTAGTGTTCAAGAAAGACATTGGATGTTGAATTACAGGGTAGAGGCATCAATCTAACTGATGTAGAAAGACTCCCTACCCATAGAATTTTTGATTGGAGTTGACTGTGCTGAAAGTCTCTTCACTGGAAACATTTTCTACTTGTCATCCGGTCTCGTTGTGGTACTGGCACTACTTAGATGGATTGTTATAGGCAAGATAAACAAACCGGATTTCATTTCAAAGTACTATATCTTTGATAACTAGTATGCTAATCCACAACAATAATTGAGAGAATTTGTAGAAATGATGTACTTTAAGTTTACCTGATCCCAGTGAAAGCAGTAGAATTGGAAATAGCTGTATTTGATCACTTTCATATGATCTTGAGAAAAATGATGATGGTAGATATGGAAGTCAGTTTGTCATGGGTCAATGATTGAGACAATTTACCAGTCAATAGAAATGCTGTTGAAAAGAGATTAATCTCAACCACAAAGAAACTTGGATTAGAAGAAAGATTTAAAGACTGGAATGTGGTAATTTAATACTGGGTACAATTGGGAGGGGTTGAAGAAGTGCCAAATAAGGAAACAGATGGGGAAATATCTTACCTTCCACATCAACCAGTTTTCAATGAAAATTCCTTGACATCATTTGATGCATCATGGGAAAAGAAAACATTTTCTTCCCTAAGTGACTGTTTGGCAGAAATTAGAAGAGCCAATTAGAATGGTTCCCAGCAATATTGCTTAAATTTTGAGAGAAAAAGGTACTCATTATTTCAAATATAAGGAAAGTGTTCTTACAGATTTCTGTGAATGAAGATGACAGAGATTTTTTTAAGTACAAATGAACGAGATAAGGATAGTTGGACAGAATTTAAGTTACCGGCACCATCTATTGATGAAACAAGAAAACCAAAACATAATTTCCTTTCCTTAAAGGCTGAATGTGTTAGAATTAGTGCTGTTGATGAAGAATTGGAATTAGTGTTATTAATCCATCTCGACCTTCAGCATTCAAAGAAAATTACGTTTCATTTTTCTTGTTTCATCAATAGATGGTGCCAGTAGCTTAACTCCTATCCAGTTATTCTTATCTTATCACTATATCTTATCTCGTTCATTTGCACTTAGGCAGCTGGGGAAGATGGTTCTGTAGCTAAACACTCGAAACTAGTCCTGCAAAATTCACAAATATTGCACTAATTCTTGTTGTTTGACTTCTGCAATGTGCATTCTGTATCCTCTCAAAAATTTCTGGTGTCTGCACTGACCGCATCTTTCCTGTTGGCTTCTTATTTGTGGTACTTGCAGTAGCATGAAAATGATCAACTTAATTATGTGCCATTCTGGTACATTTCCATGCCTCTCAATGTTGAATTGCTGTCAAACTTCTGCTGCGTAGCTGCCATATTGTCAACACTTTTGAAATAAGTTTTTCAATCACAAAAATGCAATGCATCTCAGTCCATTTCTCCATTGTAGCTAAAATTATATCCTTCCTTCACCACTCTACCTTGCTCAGTTTTATATTCACTGCAAGGCCGTACAAGCTACTAACTGTTGAAAGTTTCTCCTGGACCCTTTATGTCTGATGTTGATCTGCAACCAATCTTTATTATAAATCTACAAAACAGATTATATGATAAAACATCAATTGATGTAAATATTTCGGAATACTGATATCAATTGAAATTTGAATAAAACGGTTGTATGCAAAATATTTTGGCTGTTAAATGTTAATGTTAATATGCAATAAAAACTATATTTTCTCAAGGATGTGATTGCTGCCCAACATAGAGAGGAAATATTGATAGCTGGATTTGTATTATCAGTACTTCAGAGATGTTGATGTATCCAATTTTTTTGTTATACATTTCATTTATTCAGCTTTATTTTATCTGCTGTTGTTGTATGTTATTTTCAGTTACAATTTCACTTGGGATGTAACTCAAGGTTTATCTTAATATGGTAGTATGACTAATAGATGGTAATTTGGCTGGATCATAGAAAATGGTGCAATTTTGTATTGTTTTGAGAATGAATTGTACAAGCAAATGACTCATCTTTTGCATAACCACAACTCACTTTGGTGCTTCCTTATTATAGCGGCCCCCAAAATTTAATCTAATCATCTGAGATGTAACATGTATAGCGAGGTATAAGAACATGGTGCAAGATATCGTGGTTTGCTCAGTCATTCACTCTTGGCGGCTGCTATAATAAGGAAGTACCTGTACTTTCTTATTATCTTCAGTAATTAGTTTTTGCACATGTTTAAATATGTGTAGTCATTTATGCTATTTTATTACTGTTCATTGTAAAAATATTTGTCTCTTTCATTATAATTCATTTTATTTTGCAGTGAAGCTTTGCCTGCATTAATTTATTACCAGAAGAAGAAAGTTCAGCCTCAACCTTGGAATGCTAATTTGGACATTGGAACTAACTTAACTATTCCTATAAGTGCCTACCTAAAGGTAATTAATGTCAAAAGATATGATAAAATATTTTTTCTCAGTGTTGGTAAAATGCAGAAAATTACCTCCTATGTTCTCACAATTGCATTAAAATTGTATTTTAATATGTATATGTAAAATAAAAAATATAAAAGCAAACTTCTAATCTTAATTCGCTGTAACCACTTTCGTTTTTTATTCAGTTTGGGGACTTTGTCTCTGTATCTTAAAAATAGTGCTATAAGTCTAAACTGTGTCATTCAAATTAATCGTGCAACCCTACGTAACACTTAATGCAGATGTCTCTTGCCACATCAAACTAATTGTAAGGCAAAACTTTTTGACTCCCTTCCTTCTTCCTCTGAGATATTGCGACACTCTTTCCTTTTTGCTTACGCTTTCATCCTGTTAAGACACTGCTGCAATCATCTACGTTCGTTTCTATCGAAATGGTATCAAAATTTTTCTAGAAATATGCACGATTGGAATCCCAAGTGAATTGTGACCGCAATAGAACATTTATTCATCAGTTGGATTTCTGTAAAATAGTATTCAAATATATTGTGCTATTTTTAGATATATATGTAGTTTTTGTTTTCAAATTTATTTTACTATTTAAAATCTTTGCAATTATGTATCAGAGTTGCAAGTGTCAAAAAAGGCTATTTCTTACATTACTGAACTCATTATGTCACCGAGAAATTAAATGTTATTGCTCATTGGTATTTAAATTTTAGTATCTTATACTGAACTTCTGATATACACAAATGGATTATTAGTTACCTGAAATGCCATAAGGCAAAAATGCCAAATTATCATAATCAGTGTTTAATATTTTCCCTCACATTCATAAGTTGTTAATGTCAAGGAAAGGAAATGAATTACAGGATAGTTTGGTATCTGTCTTCTTTGAAATATGACCAACTTGGTATGCAATCTGGTATAAAATTTTTGATTGGTATATACCATTTTTTTGGCATTCACTGGGTCATTACTGCATGCACTATAGCTGTTTATTTCTTTTGAGACATTGTTACAACTGCTGATGAGTGTCAGCATGCTTTTTGTTACTTTTCAGGGAATTACCCTAGCTTTAGCTAAATTTTCAAGTGATTTTGTGTTTTTTAGTGCATATTTTTTATATGGTACGGTTCATTAACAATAAGTATTTGGAAATCAATCAAGCAATAAAGAAAATCGGTAGGATTGCCATGGAAGTGAAAAACGAAATTGTTGAAAAGAATGAAAGTGGCATGCTTATTGGTAAATTGGTCGTTCATGGTTGGTTGGTTATTGCTAAATTGGTAGGATCGCCATGGAAGTGAAAAAAGAAATTGTTGAAAAGAATGAAAGTGGCATGCTTATTGGTAAATTGGTCGTTCATGGTTGGTTGGTTATTGCTAAATTGGTAGGATCGCCATGGAAGTGAAAAAAGAAATTGTTAAAAACAATGAAAGTGGCATGCTTATCCGGAACTTGGCTATTGCAAACTGAATGCCAAAATGTGTAGATTGTGAAAAACAAAAACACTGTTAAATCGGCCAACAAGGCCAAAGGAGTGTAATTGGTTACCAAACAGTAATCAGAGATGTTAGAGCAGGTTAGAAAATTGCTTACGATCTGTGTAGCAGAAAAAAGTGTATGTACACTGGGGGGGGGAAGGGGGGACAATTCTATATCTTTCATTCTACTGGGCCAATTGATGAAATTCCAATTATCTTTTTCATTTCTCGAAAGCGCAACTTAGTATATGTATTAGATTTATGTATAGCATTATTCTAACATAGGTATTTTGACACCAAATCAGAATATTTCTGAAATGACATGCCAATTTTTCTTATTTCCATTCAATGACTCAAATTGTGCCAAACTGTAAAAATTGCACAAGTAGTTTTTAAAAAATTAGCTCCTCAATGTTAGCTGAATTTTAAATATATTTGTTAATATCTGTTTTTTATTAAACTTATTCGATTCCTTCTTCCAGAATTCGAAATTTAGGTTCATTCCAAATAAAATTCGCCCATTTTTATAATTTATTTTTTAAATTGTGTTTTTTTAAATAATTTTTATTATTTTATTAAATTTTTGAAAAAAATTTTAACTCATAACCTATAACATTTTTACCACCATCTTAAAGTAGATGTATTTCTAAGCATACTTGCAAAAAATTAAAGCTTTTAATTCAAAGTTTCCTAGAATAGATATGAATTTACATATTGGCATGTTTTGAAATTTGGCATATTTGTTATGAGTGATAATAATGCCAAATGTAGTTTGCGCATTTTGTTAAAATCATTTGAAACAATGAACAATGACTTTTTCCCCGCTCGTTTACAATGAAAAAAAAAGGAAAAAATACTGAAAAAATATACCGAGATAAATTTTTTAATTTCTGTGTAAATTTTGCACCAACTTTTACAAAATTTAATATTTAGGCATAATTTGAGTCATAGAAACGAAATATGGGACAAAATTGGCATGTTATTTGAGAAGAAATCCAATTTTGTGTTAAAATACCTATATTAGAACAAAGTGTATATAAATCTAATATATATCCCAAGTCATGTTTTTGAGACATGAAAAACACAGTTTTAATTTTGACAATCAGCATAGTAGAACGGGAGATATAGAACTGTTCTCCCCTTTTTTGTGTGCAGTGTACATTGTTGTGCATAAATGTGCAAATATTTATGTGCAGTGCTTCATTTATGTACAATACAGATTTCATACACTACATTTGTATTTAGTAGTAACAGGCTTCATGCAGTTCTTAGAATTCCTTAGTTTTTTGTAAATAATTTTTAGTCCTTAATTATACTCATGTGACGTTTCTATCTATTGTTTACGATTACCATTTTGAGTAAGAATTAACATTTTGGTGGAATAATTTTTGCCAGTTCATTGACAAATATGTATCTGGTGGTTTATCTTTTGAATTTCTTCGTACTTCTAATATAAACAGTGACATACTTGAATTTCTGGGCACAAGGCTCTATCTTGATCATAAACATTTAAAAATTTTGTACTTACGGAAGTTTATGGCTCCCTTGGCACCTTCGTGAAAAATTTAACTTCTTGGAAGGGGGGGCCTTATTTCCACAATTGCTTTTAGTATGTTATCAAATGCGTTTTGTTGTCCCAATGTCTTTCTCTGCATAAATTCTGCTAGTTATTATTGAAGATGGTGGTGAGCAATACCTGTTTGTTTTTTATTTCGCCACTTTGCAGAACCGTAAATTCTCTCGATATTTTGCGTGTGTACGCTTGTAGTCAGTGCCACAAAGTGGTATTTATGGTTTACAGTCACATGATAATAACCAAGTTTTTCAAAATCACCAGTTTTATAAGCACATCAGCAGAATGAATAAATTATGGATCTTTTCTCTGCATATCTGTCTTTGCCATCGCCATGCTTGCTTTTCTATTCGCTACCTGAACTACAAAATATTCGCAAGTTTCTCGGTATATCCACTGCTGGGGTAGAATTCTCCTTTCATAGTTTTTCCATCGAACGAACAGACTTTCATCTACTTCAACTATTTCTCAAAACTGCTTATTTGTTTTTCAGGCTGTCTGAGGAAATACAAACAGCATGCTTTTCTCATGAAATTGTTCCAGTCGATCATTACTCCAGCCCAACAGTAAATAATTTTCAGCACTATTGCAAATGGAATTCTTAATCCACTAAATGATAAACATGTGACTCAATGAAACTGCAGCAATTCAGAATTCACAATAAATATTGTCTCAACAAAACTGCAGCAGTTCGCAATTAATGATTTGGTCATGGTTTTCCACTATCATGGGCACTTTATCGCGAGGGCTATAAACTTTCGTAAATACCAAAAGTTTTTCTTTTTTCCGAATGAAGAGTTCATAAAATGTTACATCAAAACTACTTTTCCCTTTTGGGAAATGAATACTGCTAAATTTATCAACATTTTGGCAGTTTTAAGATTAATTTGTATACAAAATTTTGATTTGTAAACTTCCGAATTTTTCAACAATTTTTTTTTTTTTTTTAGAAATATAACACTGATAAATACCATTAAAATAATATTAATATATTAAAATTATATTTAAGAAGTGATATTTTTTTCCGGTCTGCTCACTTTAATTCTAAAAAAAAAAAGATAATAAATGCTATAAAGCACAGCTTACGAAACACATCTTTGCAAATGCAAGAAAGCTACTGTAATTTTATTTGTCTTTTAAATTTTTTCAGCATTATTTTACTGTTTCAGAATACTCAAATGTATATCAGTTTTCTCTGTAAAATTCATGTTGCACTTTTCTTTTCTGAATTTTCTTTTCAAAAATCTTCTGGCATTTTGCTCTTACAAATTTTGCAAGTACGGTGAAAGTCCAAAAATCCGCGAAGCTTGGGACCATAGGTTGTGCGGATTTTAGGATTTTGCGGATTTCCGGACAGAAAAGATAAATCATAATATTCAGATTAAAAGTACAAAATAAATAAGGCATGTTAGATACATTTAATTAAATTATTATATACATTTATGCAATAACTTATTATATGCATTAAATTATTATTACATATATAAATTGATTATCTTATTCATTGTATATTATATATGCACAGCATCGAGTTTTGCCGATTTCACCTCATGCAAAGATTTCCGGTTTTAGAATCACTGTTGCTGTAAAATTTCAATAGCTTTTCTTTATTTTTCTGTATATCATACACAATCGTATCGCAATTCCATACGATTCTGCTATAAAATGCACCTATCTCCATCTTTTGCAGAATTCGCACTTTTTGCATTACCGTCAATGCAACTTGTTTACGTTTTTCAACTTTGCAAGTAGTAAAATCATGAGTGTGTGTCTTATCTGTAGTTGTATAAAAAAGGGCTGAAATTTAAAATATTCTTAATTTATCCGCAAAATATCCGGATTAAAAAAAGGCGGCACTAAATAATCTTGTGAAATAACAAAGCTCAGAAAATACAACAATGTGAATCGTGAACTTGAAAGAATTGAGTGAATCATCTGCTTTCTTACCTCGATGCAGATCAGAGGGGAAAAAACTTTTATCATGATGTCAATAATTTGGTATTTCCATTATGATTCATTATTATTCAGTAATTATGACATTATTATTGGGTAAGTATATTTGTTCTTTGATGTTTCGTACTCAATTTTGCGGTTTCCGGAACCTATAAACTGAATGTTTATATTTTGAGAGGCAACGCAGATTTTCGATATTTGACTGTATAATGTTTCTTTCCGATTTTAGACTTTGCACTGCAGAACGTTTTATAGATTGAAGGCAAATTTTATAGATGTACAATACCATAAAAATATGACAAAATGTAAAATGTCTTTATTGGTTTAACACTTACTAGTTGTGTTTTACTGGAAGCTTATGACAAATTTCTTGTTTTTTGGAAAAGCTTAGGAAGCATAATGAAAACAAAATTATTTGAATTTTCTATTTTTTGATCCAAGAAATCTTTCTCTTAGCATTATTGTCTTCCCTTTATTTTCTCTTCTTTTCGCTAGACAAAAAGATGGCAAATTGCAAAAATGTTTCTAATCTTGCCACAAGGGCAGGTATCTGTAAAAAGGAATTTTTCTATTAATAACGAAATTGAAAATTTATCAGGGCTAGGCAGTTAGTCATCTGATGCAGTGTCTGTGGGTTCTAAATTCTGTTGTCCTGTGCCTTCCTAAATTCTAAACATTTTGTCATCACTAAATTTTCTTGCTGTGTGCTTCACAAAATTCTGGTGTACTGGCTTGATATGTATACTACTAACTTAAATTAGCAGTATCTTTAGTACACTTTCAATGCAGGAAGCTTTTCACAGTTTCAAGTCTTTAATTAAATTTACAAATTCTGCTTCTATGTAGAATGTTTCAGCTTGAGATGTATGCCAATGAAATACATAGGTCCGGAGCCAAATTATTGATCACACAATGTTATGCCAAAATGATTGTTTCTTCAATAACGAGGTATTTTATTTAGTGAAGTGAAATAAGAATTGGGACTCTCCACGTGTTTTATCATGGGGGGGGGGAATCAAACGAGCATGCATTACACATACAAAAAAAAAGGGGGGGGGTTGGGAGCTTTGAGGTCAAGACTTTAGTTCATTCCGGATATTGGTCGTCTGGATCTCGGACTTCGTACTGTAGTACATTAGCTGGGTTATAATTTCAACAACTCTACAGGAAGCTACAAAGTGAACTGGGTCAGGAAAAAAAAAAAAAAAAAAAAAAAGTATAATTAATTTTCAGCGCTTACCAGGCATTCACATCTGTTTTGATCAACACCTTTCTGTTTCTCTCTAAGCAAGCACCAGTTGTGGCACAGCCAAGTTTCGGTTACAAATCATGCTGATAATGATTTTTCTCCTCGTTTTAGTCTGTGTTCCTTGAAATAAAATCTGCATAAAACTCTGAACTGAGCAAACCAAGAATTAAAAAAAAAAAGAAAATTTAAAATAAAAGGTTTCAGATTTTTAATTTCATCAAAACGGGCCTTTTTTTATTTATTTATTTATTTATTTTTTACATTTTGTGTGTTACCTTTATTTATTAAATAATCACGTTCTTCGCACTTAAACCATAAAATTCAATTCAACAGCAATATCAAAAAATAATTTTAAATTGAGCATATTTTTAGAATTTCCGATACACGTGCTGGAGATAAAAATATTTCTTCTGTACAACGTTGCTATTGCTCGCTTTGAAATCCTTGAGTTTCTTAATAAAAAATTCATTAAAGTTTTACAAAATATGAAATCGATAATAAAACAAATTCCAAATTTCAAATTTGGGCTTCCAGATGCCCCTATTCGCAGTAGGATTACAACAATCAAAATTGGATGGCTCTAGGTACCATTGTTTTATCACAGTGCAAGAAACATACATTCATTTATGCAGATTCTTCATTTAATTTCTTGAAATATAATACAGAGTGATAATATTTGGTCGCAACAATTTGAAAAATGAATCAACGCAAAATGCCAAAACGAAATTAATAGTCCTTCTGGGCAAATTGCCCCTTTGGACTAATAAGCTAGTAATATATAAAAGAATTAATGTAACACTAATAAATAGTAAAAATAAAATGTGAACAATCTTCTTTAAAATATATGAAACAGTTACAGGTGTAAAATTGGTTATGTTTAATAACTGCTTCTTCTTACAGATCTGTTTTATTCATTGAATATAGCATTAGAAAAGTTTAGGCATAGATAACTGTTTAATTTATTCAGTTCCTACTTGTTGAAAACTTCTTAATTTTTTCTTTGAGCATCCTTAAAATGACTCCATTTCCATGTGCAGAAAAGTGCTTTTGTATTTTAGGTACTGTTTATTATAATTTTAATATTTCAAATCCTATCATATATTTTATTATAATTTTAGTATTTTATATCCAGGATGTTTTTCCTCCCACTTTTCTTTCTTTAATCTTCGAGTGTATTTGGAAAGAAATAGTGTTTTTTCATAAGTCTTTTTAATTTTTTTTTAATAGGTTAATGAATGTAAAGCAAAACCTTGGAAAAATGCATATGCTGAAAAACTGAATGCTAAGATTGAAAAGAGAGTGGCTTATCTTATGAATGATGAATTTCAAATAGAAGTTTCTAAAGAGAATATAGTTCCAGGTAATGTTTACTGCTCATTTTTTTAACATATTTAAAACTACTTATTCAAGAGTTTTTTAATGTACTGTTGTTGAAATAATTTCTTAATAAATATGAAAAGAGTAGCAAATGAATGTATTTTATAAATTGCTGATGAGTAAATTCTGTTTGTCATCTTTGTGTATTTGAAATTATCTGCTAATACTGATTAGTGAAATATTTATAATACGAAGGTTGCTGTTTATATTTTTGGCCTTGGTAACAGTAAGTGTTGCTAGATGACCCCAGACGATTCCAATCAGAAGTTTTATATTTTTAACCATACTTTCTTTAGAATGTGTTGCCATTTTAGCATGATTTGTTTGGTAAACTGAAAAATTCATCTCGGGCAAAAAATTAAATTTACTCATAAACATTTTCATGCTATTCTTTTTGGTAACTTTCAACGTGGATTACGAACACAAGAGTGTTTCAATGAATTTAATTCTTTATATAGCAATAAAGCACAATCTACAGTACTGTAAAAAATCGGTATAATGAAATCAATCATGGTCGACGTTCACTGTGGGACAAATTCCGTGAAGTTTATCCAAAATCGGTTGTTGTGCAAGAAAATATCGATACTGATAAAGCAAGGTCATCATGTGACATACCATGAGATTGAGACATCTTTGGGCATTAGTATATGACAGGCCCATCAATAAGATATTATGTGAATATTTGGCCGTAAAAAAGATTTTTTTTCGCGTTGGATCCCGCATAATCTGACAAACACTCAAAAGAAGACTTGTGTTGATTGATACAAGGAAATGTTGGAAAAATACGTTCAAGGTGCATAGGCTGTGTATCACATCTACACCAGTGACAAGTCATGGATCTATGCATATGAGCCCAAAACAAAACAGCAGCCGACTTCCAAGATGAGCCAAATCCAACCAAAGTTGTTCGCAGAAGATGACCATTTGTTTGCCAGAAGTCATTGGCGAAATTTGAAAAAAGCAAAAGAGGCGAATCTTTCTTCATCATGACAATGCGAACCTTTGTACATTGGCTCAAACAAAGGAATTTTTGATGGGCTCAAACATCAAATTGAGAGTCATCCTCTGTATAGCCATGATTTGGCACCCTATGACTTTTTTTTTCTTCTCGTGATCATGTGGCCTGATCAGAATTTGTGCGGTCACCTGAACACATGTGATATGGCAGTCAACCTGTTAATTATATGTGGCAGATTTCAAAGAGTTCAAAATCTTTATCGATAAGTTGATCTTAAAATAAACCAAATGAAAAATTAGTGAGAATGATAGTTTAATCATAGTTTCAGTTAAAACATATCAAATGGTTTTCTTTCACAGTAAAATTCACTAAATTTTGAACATCAAGTTCACATTTACTAAAATTATGATGCAGCTAAACTAAGAGATATCTGAGATCCTTAGATTCTATCCCAAGATGCTGTTGACTAAAATTGCTAAGAAGCGTAAACATTATAGCCATCCTGTGCTTTATTTTATTTAAAGAATCCAGTTGTAGCTTTTGTTCCTTTGTAACTGGAAGGTAGGATTGAGTTTCAGTGGGGAAAAAGTGCAAGATATCTGTCAGTGTATGTAATATATTTTAGTGCTTCTCTTGTAATCTTTTTAATCAAGAGAATTTCACTAGGGCTTTAAGAAGAGGTATGTAGTCTTCTAAATATCTACTAAATTAATTAAATTACTTTTGTTCCATTTAACTCTCTGCTTCTAATAATTATATATGTAACCTAGTAAGTATTGTCAGATGAATATAATATTGTTAGTGCCATACTAAGCCAAAATGCATTGGGATTTCAATTTTTGTTTTCTTCATACTTTAATCATTATTGATAAAACTGGGTTCGTACAGTCCTGAAGAGTCCTTAAAAGTCCTTACGTTTTTTTAATTGATTTTTGGTCCTTAAAAGTCCTTAATTTGGGCCAAAATGGGTAGAAGGTTCTTAATTTTAATCATCTCAATTTTCTGTCTGCTTTTACGACTGTCATTTTGAGTGTGAATTAGCATTTTGGAATAATATTTTTTGCGATTCACTGACAAATATGGTTAATTTTTGAATGGGTTCATGAGTTATAATTTGTTCCTATTTTCCTCACCAGAATGCAAATCACTTATACAGTTTTTAAATTGAGGTTTATAGATTGTAAGACAGAGTGTGTTTCTGACCTCTGCTTGTTCGCTGCATTAGTTCCTGCCACCTCTGATCATTTGCAATTCTTTGAATTATCATTGTTTACGTTTGAATTTGTTATGATGATAGAGTTACTAAGCCAGCATAAATTAAAATTATATTGAGCTTTGAGTCTACATTTTTAGTTTGAGTTTGACTTTTCTTGTTTAATTACATCACCATGGGCTGTAATTGATTTTGTTAGCATAAGAATATGCATGTATGTTCTAAGTTCTTTTTAAATAAGAGACTTATTTAAACATTTGTCTGACTTTGTAGTTACTTTTAGACATAGTAATAATTTGCTTTACGTCTGTGTGGGGATATTGGGCTGACAAGTTAGAAGATAAAGCAGGCAGAAACTAGTGAGCACACTGGTTTGCGTATTGAGAGAAAATTTATATTTGCTAGAAAAGACGCTTAAAGAGAAGGAAATTAATATAAATTAGCCAAAATATCTGGGAAGGCTTCAAACTGAAAGGGCAAATAAATATTTTTGTTGAATTTGTTGCTACAAAACATAAATGTTTAAAACATAAAGGTTTTACTGTGTGGTTATCCTAATATCATTTAAGAATCAATGTCATAAATTACATATATTTTAAACTGTAAAATTTTATTAGATTGTGATTTTAATAGGGCTTTTTTAACAAATATTGTTAAAAAAAATAAATAAAATTTAATATTTAGCATGTTAATCCATAATGACTAAGGTTATCTAACTAGCTACTTTAATTAAATTATTTATAACTAACTTCTTACCCTTAAAAATTATCTCTGCATATTAAAGGGAGTTATTACCTTTCATTTATCCATACCATGGTCACAAGATAAAACTGAAAAATGTAAAATTTGTGTAAACTCACATTTAGTGAGACTTGTAATAATACAAAACAACTTGTCACTCTGGTGCTTTGGCTTATTGGAACATTAAAGTATATTAACTGGGTTACAGCCCCTGAAACTCTACACCAAACTACAACACTAACTGCATCAGAGCCCAATTAACTTTCAAAACTCTCCAACTGTGCCTAGATCGGGCCTTTCAGATCTGTTCTGATCAGCAGGTCTCTCTGTAAGCAAGCAGCAGATGTGACAGCAACCAGTCTTTTGTTATGAAGTATGCTGATTATTATTTTACTTCTCATTTTAACCTATGCCACTTGACATAAAATCTACCTGGTATTTAAACCTCTGTACCAGGGTTCTCAACCGGTGGTACACAAGAGAAAAATAGGTGGTATGCAAAGAAACAAAGTTTTTTTAACTATTAAATTCAAAAATCTCATGAAGGCAAAAAACAATTGATAGAAATTTCCTGTGATAGAACTCTAACTGAAGATTGTGTAAGGAGCACACAGTGTGCCAAAAGTTCAATTAACACACTTGTTAACTTTTGGCTAAAGCCAAAAAAAGAATTTAAAGGTGTTACAAATGGAACTGTTAAATTTTTATTGCCTTTCTGCACAACCTATTTGCGTGAACAAGTATTTTCTTCCACGTTTTATTTGAAAAAGAAATACAGAACAAAATTAAGATTGGATCTTAATTTGCGGTTAAAGTTAAGTAAAATAAGCAGACATAAAGAAATTGATCTCTCTTAAGCCCCATTCACAAGAGCAGATTCAACCAGCAGCGAAAACCGGTTCTTCCAACGTGTCCAATTCACACGGCGAACAAGCATGAACTGCCTCACAGAATTGGAGGTAGAACTTGGTTGAATTTTCTACCTCTCCAGAGCAGAGCAAATGGGGAGATTTCCCATACTGCGCTGTGCGATTGCGTCGTTCACTTAATTTGAGCAAACAACATGGCTGACATGCAACTGACTGCTCACTGGACTGTCACCGAAACAATCGCTTTGATAGATATCTAGGGATGCGATATCCTCGGAAAAAATTAGATGGAACCGTACGAAATACGGAAATTTGTAAACGAGTACAGACAAAGTTTTCTGATGCTTGGTATTTCAGAAATATCATTCAAATTAACACTAAAGACGTGCATATCAGCTTCAACGCGACCAGGGAACTCGGTACATTTTAAATGTTTTATTTATTTATTTAAGAACTTTCATCTACTTTTTATGAATATTATTAAATGATTTTAAGCTGAAAAACTTTTTCTTCATTAATTTTTTTTATTTAAGTTTTTGGTAGAAATGTTTTAATAATTAAAATGTCTTTCTTCTCCTACAATTTTCAATGTTTTTCCTCCAATTTTTCTTATTGTATTTATTATAGTGTTCTTAATAACCTTAAGGGTCTATTTTGTAAATAATGAATTAGTTTTGAGAAAAATTAAAAACATATTTTTATGTAAAAACTTTGAAACAAATATTATCTCAATCACATTTTCACTTCAAAACATTTTTTTCAGTATTTTGCAAAACCCATTCTTATATGTATAAAGTGTATAATTTTAGATAAGCGGTAAAAATATTAAATAATTTACACCATATCAATATAAGTTTTAGGACCTTAAGTAAAAGGATTTATCAGAAAAATGCAAAATAAGAAAATACAGTTTAAAGAATATGAGCTGTCTAAATGGTCATAAAATCGTTTCAAATTTCTTAAAAATTTTATTACTGAATTTCAATAGATATATATGTATAAAATAAAGCCTAGTGCTTTCAACGGGTTAATATAAACACAAATTACAGGCTTTTATTTAAAATCTTTGTAAAACACATTCAAAACATGTCAAAAAAGATGTGAGCAAACGTCAGAAATCATCCAGTTCGTTTCGCGTTTGTGACATCATTGCTCACAGTAGCTTATGGGTTAAGGGATGGAAGACGATGTGCATCTGATCCGGTCCTGAAAGTGAAACTGCTTCGTATCCCCGTTTCTCCCTAATACAAATGGTGGGCTGCGTGAAAGAGCATAGCATGTGAACAGGACTTTTAACAGGCCCAAATTTCACACTAAATTTTAGAATTAATGTATTGTAACTTAAATTGTGGTAATTAACCCGGCGGAAGTCGCACCAAGAAAAGTTACTAGAGTGGGCGCATGGGGTATCACATACCCCAATATTTAAAATACAATAAAAATAATATTATTTAGTTTTAAAACTTTTTTTTTTTTTTTTTGTTGTTGTCGTTCTTATGTATTATAAATAAGTGAAAAATAATTGGGTTTCAAAAAATTAATTTCCGAAATAATCTTAGAGTTAAATTTAAGAAAAATGAAAATAATAAAAAAATAAAAATCATGCCTCTAAGTTTCATTGCATCTCTAATACATCATGCTTATTTTATTTCTTCACACTTTGAACGAAATACATTCATGCGGTCTTGGCACAGAATGTTTTCATATTTTAAACATTGCATTTACATTCTTCTGTCCTTCGCGCGAGAACAAAAATGTATCACACCTTTCATACTTAGTTGTTTCGAATTTCATGTATTCGTTTTAATTCTTTGTCGAAACTTCTGCTTTTATTTTGCATGCAGTACGTCAATTTCTTGGAAAAATATTAATCTCTGATTCTTTGTTCAGTACTTTTTTTCATTAATTGTAATGCTAAGTCCTTCAAAAACAGACTTCTGTTTCTGGTTGGTGGATTAGCAGTTGAATGTAATATAATTCAAGCATTTATTAGAGCAACATTCAATGCAGGAAAGAAAATTACCATTGGTCACCTCCTTGTTATTCTGGCAATTGAATAATTGGCTGACATTTCATCCCCTATATCCACTGCTCCTTTAGTCATATTAAAACATATAATTCCTGACATTTTATTTTCTCCAATAGTATCATCTATAGCATGATCGTTATATAATGTTGAAAGCATAAGAAGAGTTTTTCCTTTTTTAGGAACACCAGGAATTAATGTTTTATCTTTTTCGAAACCAAAACATTGTAGAAAATATTCTTAGTTTCATCTTTAGTTTCCGAAATGCAATCTTCATCACAGATATTTCTAATAAATCTCACATGCGTTGCATCTCCAGTTCATAGGGACTCATTCTTTTTACCATAATGCAGTTAGAAATTTTTAAGAATTTTATGTCAAGTACTTTAAAATCACTTGCGAGTAGAAATATTTACTGTTACATTCTAGAAATAAATTTCTGAACTAAATATTCAGTCAGAAAATCACTTATACGAAGAGGCGCGTGGGGTGTGTCATAACCCAGTTCCAACAAAATACCGATAAATATTTTTCTGAAACACACAGGCAAAGAAAAAGCGGTTCTGAAAGTCAACCACAACTAGAAACTCAGCTACTGAAAGCAGCACAGAATTTCAGTTTCACAAGGTAGGAATATTCCACTTTTATGTAGGGTTGGAGTATGATACACCCCACGCGCTTTCCCGCTGGTTAAAATGGTAACCAATTTTTAATTTAATATTTTTTTTATGTATACACAGTTTATATAGCCAACAAGTTGTACAAATGGCAATATATATATATATATTAATATTTCTATTGACATGTTGAAAAATAATCATTGTAAAATGTAGTGGTGGTACTAAAGTTTTTGAATTTAGATGGTATGCATTAGTCAAAAGGTTGAGAACTGCTGCTCTAGACATAGATTTCAAATAAAAGTGTTAAATTTTTATTGTCTTTTTGCATAACCTATTTGTGTGAACAAGGATTTTCTTCCATGTTATATTTGAAAAATAAATACCAAACAAAATTAAAAGTGGATCCTAATTTACGGTTCAAACTAAGTGAAATAAGACCAGGCATAAAGAAACTGATCTCTCTTAAACAGGCCCAAATTTCACACTAAATTTTAGAATTAAGAGCATTATAACTTAAATTTTGCTAATTAAAATGGCAACCAATTTTGAATCTAATATTTTTTATGTGTGCATGTTTAATACAAATATCCAATAGATTGTGCAAATGGCAAAATATTTTTTTAGCATTTCTATTAAGAAATTGAAAAATAATTATTGTAAAATGTAGTGGTGGTATTATTTCATTTTTTGTTCAGATGGTATGCATTAGTCACAAGGTTGAGAACCGATGGTTTATGAAAAAGTGTAGTTTTGAAGTATTATATTTTGCATTATTTAATATATGTTTTGTGTTGCATTATTCTATTTATATAGCTGAAATGCATATTTAGCATTTACTTCAAATTCTTTTTGGATATTTATTTTTTATTTTAATAATAAATTTTTTTTGATAGCTTTTAAGTATGGCACAACACTTGTCCCTTTTACTGAAGAAGATAAGATGAATATGGATTACCAGTCTGGTGAAAAAGGCATGAAAGTTCTTGGTTTTACCAAATCTGAAAATGTAAGTCTCTTTTTGGAAAAATTTCTCTTAAAATGAATCTATGACTTTCAGTTATATGTTTACACTTAATCTGTGGTTTAGAATCTTTGAAAATAACATGAAATGACTAATTGAAACTTTTGATGAAACGAGTCCATTTAGTGTTTTTAGGATAGCTTTTAACTCTTACACTTTTGACAAAAATTGAGATTAAACAAATCACATGCAGTCATGGCTATGAGTAAAACGCATTGAAAAAATGTGAATAAATATACGAGGGCTGTTCAGAAAGTATTGAGACTGAATTTATTCTATTTATTCCAGAAACCCCCTTGCGGTGGGACTGCAAGTATGCATATGTTTCACCTCGTTTCACAAAATCGGGTCTGTACAGCGCCCATTCAGTCACACTGACTTCTTTCATGTGGAGTGTTTGCGTGCATTCATCGAAAACAGAAAATGTCTGAAAACATAGAGCAGCGAAACTGTATCAATTTTTGCTTTCTGTAAAATGGGCACCAAAACCTACAAGATGACGAAAACAGCATTTGGAGATGATGCGATGAGTCGTGCTTGGGTTTTCGAGTGGTTCCGACGATTCAAGGATGATCGGAAATCAGTGGACAGTTATCCCCATTCTGGACGCACTTCCACCTCTCACAATAAGGACAAGATTGCACAAGTGCAGGCTGTGGTGCGCTGTGATCTTCGTTTAACAGTCTGAGAAATTGCACAGGAGTGTGGCGTTTTCATAGGATCATGTGATGAAATTTTGAGAAAGGACTGGAACATGCGCCGAGTGTCTGCAAAGCTTGTGCCACATCTCCTCACTGAGGATCAGCAATTCCAACGACTGGCAATCTCATCTGATTTATTTAAAAGTACAAGCAACAATCCGGAGTTTATGAAGCTCATTATCACTGGAGATGGAGTCGTGGATTTACGGATACGATCCCGAAACAAAGCAGCAGTCGTCACAATGGAAATGTCCCAGGTCTCCTCGGCCAAAGAAAGCACGGCAGGTGCGAAGCCAGATCAAAGTCATGTTGCTTGTGTTTTTCGATGCAAATGGAATTGTTCATCATGAGTATGCTCCCCAGGGCTATACAGGGAACAAGGAATTCTACTTGAACGTCATGAGGAGATTAAGAGATGCTGTTCGCAGAAAACGATCGGTGTTGTGGGCGACCTCTTGCTGGATTCTTCATCATCACAGAGCCCCAGCACACACCAGCAATCTTGTGCAGCAGTTCCTGGCAAAACACGGAACAATCCAAGTAGAACATCTCCTCCCTATTCACCAGACATGTCACCTCCAGATTTCTTCCTCTTTCCCAAGATCAAGAACATCTTAAAAGGACACCAGTTTCAGGACATTGAGATCATAAAACAGAATTCAATGCAGCAGCTTAAGGCCATCTCAAAGTCGAAGTTCCAGAAATGTTTCAAGGACTGGAAACATCGTTGGGCCAAGTGTGTTACTACCAATGGAGCATATTTCGAAGAAGATTAACTCAAAACCTGTTTTGCATAATAAATCAGTCGCGATAGTTTCTGAACAGCCCTCGTATGTGCCTTTTATTTTTGTAGTTCGCAGCATATGTATCTTTATCAAATATAGATGTAAGTTTTAAAATGTGAAACTGGGATACCTTTGAATATAATACACATTCTAAGATGGTAGCTGTTTTTTTAGATGCATTTTAAAATAACAAAGACAAAATTTTAAAATGTCAGTTATTGCCCGTAAAATGTCTTCGGTAGTAGTTTTTATGTTTCCGAGTGCACGCTTAATTCTGTACGTAATTTTTTTTTTTAAATGTTAATATTTTCTCATTTCCACTCTTAATATGTTTTTGTTTGTAAATGTTCATAAAATTATAGCTATATAAATATACTGTTTATTCTTGTTGTGTGTCATAACCAAAACACAATAAAATATTTATGACATAAGCATACTTATGCTCAATCTGTGTTCAACTGTATGTGATATTTTTCATGCATAAAGTAAAATTTATTTTTTATGCACTATATATGATGAAATATATTTTATTCATGTTTCCTTCCTCCCCTTTCCCAAGAACTGGTTTTAGATGCATCATTTTTCAATTTTTACATACATGTGCTATGAGGAATATTGCTGTATAGAGTTTATGCAGCTTATGTGTATATGTAATGATGATAAACTGAATCAAAAGGCATACATTTTTGTATATAATAAACATGTATTCCATGATAAACAGTTTCCATGTGCTGATTAGTGATGCTAGGAGTTGTATCATCCATTGTCAAAAATTGGATCATTGTCGCTATGTGCTTTAGGACAGATTTATCATTCACATCATCTATGCAGTTCTGACCTCACCACATCTCTACATATAATAAAAGAAAGAGTCTGTGTGTCTTTCATTCATGCTGTGCGTAAGCTAATAGATCCAGGGCTATGAAATTTGGTACATAGACAGTGCCATAGCTAGGGTGGGGCAAGGAGGGACATCTGTCCCCGGGCACAGCATCCAGGGGGCGCCAAATAGATTCTACGAAATTTTAGAATAAAGTGTTTTCCATTCATGGCAAACAGAAAGGGGTGCGAAATCTCAAGTTGTCCCCGGGCACTGAAAACCCTAGCTACGCCTCTGTACATAGGTGCATCTAGACAAGAGCCAGTGCACCTCTAAGAGATTTTTTTCAAAATTTGAATCAGATTTTTTTTTTTTTTTTTAAATAAATTTTCTCTCTTTTGATGAAATTTATCATTTTGAATAGTTTCATTCTTTTAGAAATGTGATTTTGGCAACAGTTTTCATTCAATGCTTTGTATGCTAGACTGCTGACTGCTGAAAATATGCGATAAAATATAATTAATTATACTTGCAACATGCACATCACAATCTTCTTATTCTGACATGCATGTGTCTCGCGAGGCACAACAGAAAAAATTTCCTTCGCCCCCTCTCTCTTTATTAGCTAATTTCAAAGAAGTTTGTATATTTTGAATTGTGTCATCCACAAAGCACAATTTTGATTGGTTATTGATTTCTGATGATATAGTTTCATTCTTTTAGAAATGTGGTTTTGGCAACATTTTTCATTCATTGCTTTGGATATTGGACTGCTGACTGTTTTCTCTTGAAAATATGAGATTTTTTGCTTACTTCATTGTATTTTTTTTATATTATGTTTTAATTCTATATAATTTTAGTTATATAAAAAGTTTTGCATGATTTTTTTTTTTTTAGGAAAGAAAAGTTTTTAACTTCCATTATACCGTTTGAATTCTTAAGATTTTGCAATGGAAAGGTGGTTAATTTACCATATTTGACGGCATATAAGACGCACTCTTATTTAGACGGCCACACACAAGGAAAAAAAGTTTCAACAGCTTGGTTTCTTTTAGTTCTCACGTTTCGTAAAAGCCAAATAAACAATTATTGAATGCAATTACCTTCACGTATAAGACTGTGTCCTTCACATATAAGACGCAGGTAACTTTTTTGAGATCAAATTTAGGAAAAAAAGTGTCTTATATGTCAAATACACTATTTATTAGGATAATGAATAATTGTGTTAAGGGATATTGCTGATTTCATTGTAATTTTTATGTATACATAATACTTTTTATTTTTGTTATTGCTGTTTTATAAAGTTGTTCTGCAGGGTGAAACTCTGTGCAGTTTTTAAATTTAATGTTTGGTGTTCCCTTTAGGCATTTTCCTGGTGCATTTAAAAGCCACACGGAGGCTGGCTGCGTAGCAGCTAGTTTTTAAATAAATGACTACTTCTGCCCGACATGTAAATTACCCTGAGCTGGATTTATCATGGAATGTATGGTGCAGCTAAACTGAGACTGAGAAGGAAGGAATGGGGAGTTCAAGGATAAATTTGTAGGGAGGGGGCATAAAAAATATTTTAATGCTTTGTGTTTGTAAAAGTCTTAACTACTTTTTGCTTATCAGACATCTTAACTACTTATTGCTATGCTGCTATGACCAGTTTCATATGAACTTCCTAATATTCACAGAGACTGATGGGTTCCAATAGCTTTGGAATTTGACTGTGGAGAATAATTTCATGTAACATTTGCAAATCAGATGGCTATTACTAAAAATGATGTTGTGCTACATGCTTCCATTCTAAACGAAAATGTAAAAACAGCTTTTATCTTTAATTTAGCTTAGTTTAGTTTTAAAATACTTAAATATTTTTTCATTAGCTATCTTTGAAAAACAAAAATTGTTGCCTAACAGTGTGATTTAGGGCTAGTAATGGATAAGCCTTATATTATGAGAACTCGCCTTATATTATGATCCTTAAGAGGTAAATTTAAACTTTGTAAAGCAGGATAATAGTTAACTGCTATTTCTTTGTTTCTTGTATTTGAATAAAGAGCAAAATTTTGGGACCTCAAAAATCCTGTCGCCTCTTTTTTATAGAAAACTAGCAATGACGTATTTGCAGAGCTGTAGGATGGGTTATACTGCTGCTGAGTATGTTTTTAGGATTTAAAAGTTATGATGTTAAAAATGTTCGTTTGAAAAGGTTGTGTTGCAGGTTATTTATTTAATTTTGGTATCAATTTCAAAATTACTTTTTTGATTCATGTTACTAAATAATTTACCAAAACTTAGGTATATTTAATGGTTTTTCTCATCTAGTACTGTCTGTAAAGGAATATCATTATTCTTGTATGATATTTTTTCTTAATATGACTTTTTTGTATGAGTTATGAATGAATGAAATGAATATTTCATGATTGAATATTCTTAAGCGTTTTGTTTCAGATTTTGAGGTTTCATTATATTGGAGACAAATCCATGTACGTCTTTGGTCAAAAGAATCGAGAGGTATGTGACCTTTTCGTGAAATTACTGAAATTTTCCTTAAAGAAAATAAGTTAAGTATTTTGTTTAAACTAGGATTTGTTTTCCTGTGGAAGATTGCTAGGACAGAAATCCCCCCCCCCAAAGGAAAAGATATAAAATGATTTCGGTATGATGTAGATAGATTATCATTTTCAGAATGATGTAGATATGATTATAAAGATTTGATAATTAGATGTAGTAATTTTTAAATAATAGCTATATTTATGATGCTTTTAAAATATTTTGATACATGCGAATTGACACTGAAAGAAAGAGTGAGTATGAACTGGCAAGGTATCTTTTTCAGAGGTCAGCTAATGATAGGTAAAAAATAATGCATAATGCACCAGTATTGGTATTTGAAGATTCATGCAATATTAAAATATTCATTTTACTTAAGATTAAAATGAGCATATTTTTCCTAGAATTTACTTTCCTTATATTTTTCATTTGCTCTTAAAATTAGAATGTGTTGTGCAGTGTTAACTTTGTGAAATCTATTTTTCATCATTAGAGTAGTAACTTTTTTATAGCACGAATTTCTGCAATTATTTTCACAATTTTTTTTTTTTTTTTTTTTTTTTTTTTTTTTTAAGATTTTTCTGAGTATTATATTTTTTCTGCAAATGTCAAATAAATATACAGATTTTTGATTTTTTGCTATTATTTTTTATTTCTAATTGTCAGATTACACATAAATAATTTTTATGTCACTTTCTTAGAATTTCTGTAGAAGTGCACTGCAAAGTAATCATATTCCAAAATATAGACAAAAAGTCACTTCCCAAAGGTACACGAAGTTGCTCTCTATTGCATATCATTGTTTGTACAAAAATCTGCATATATACAGCATAATGCATAAAAACACTGTCTGATTAAATTGTGTTGGGACAAGAGATACAGTTTAAAAAATTAATGTATTATGTTTTAAAATTGCTAAAAGAATTTATGGTATTTTGTAAAATTTTGGACATTTTTAGGGGTAAATTTATGGCTTTCGGTTAAAGTGTCATTTAATAATACTGCATAACTTGTTGTAATTGTCAAAAAACTACCTTCGAGTATTTAAGTCCACAGGGCATTAGTAGCCCAGAAGAGCTATTGATTTCGTTTTGGCATTTTGATTCACTTTTCAAACTGTTGCCACCAAATATTATTGCCCTGTGTTGTATTTAAAGAAATTAAATAATGAAGAATCTGCAAAAATGTGTGTATATTTCTCACATTGTGATAAAACAACAGTACCTAGAGCCATTCAATTTTGAATAACATAATCCTCCACTGAATGGTCATCTGGAAGCCCTAATTTGGAATTTGTTTTATTATTAATTTCATATTTTGTAGTACTTCAACGAATTTTTTATTAACAAACTCAAGCAATGGTAACAGTGTATCAAAAAAAAAAAAAAAAAAAAGTTCAGCGAAAGAAACTGTGTATTGGAAATTCTAAAGAAATGCTCATTTAAAAATTATTTTGTGATATTGCCGTTGACTTGAATTTTATGGTTTAGGTGCGAAGAACACGATATTCAATAAATAAATGTAGCACACTAAATGTTAAAAAAAAGCCTCTTTGGAGCATAATGAAAACTTTCAGTTTTTTTTTTTTTTTTTATTTTATTTATTATTATTTTTTTATATAATTTTAGTACCACTGAAGAATAAATATCTTAAGTTCCTTTTTTAAAAGAACTACATCACATCTGTGGATATCCTGTTATATCATCAAATCTTGGCTGCACTTGTTTTATTTATCGTATTTCAATTTCATCAATTGTAATCATCCCATCTCGTGTTTGGCGCAGTATAATCATCTTTGGTTTTGCGCCATAACCTCTCTCTCCCATCAAATCTTGGTTTTTAATTTTTAGCCTTTACAAAGGAAAACTGCTAATAAGTAGAAAAAATGTTTCTCAGCAATAAAAAAAATTTTTTATTGATAAAACTTAAATTTTTCACATTCTGTTCCCCCAATACCAGTGATTTTCAGCTTATTTTTTCCTTACTGACAATTCTTTGAGCTGAATTATCTTACTCTTTTGTGAGAATTAACTTTTCATGAAGATTCAAGCAATGTATAACCAATTGATACTTGTATTTGATTTTGTTTTACATCAATAAATTGTACATTACTAAATTTGTCCACAAAATTATATATATATTAATTATTAATTTTTTCATCATATTTAAAAATACATTGATAAATAATGCTTGTTTTTCTTACTCAGAACTTTTTTATTGCAAAAGTATAAGAAAATTACAAAATTGAATTAGCCAAAGAACATAAAATGTAAAATTTGGCACATTTTCATATTTCAAGGTTGGTAATTGTGGAGTTATAAACAGAAAAGGGAGATAATTAATTGGTAGTTGTTATTAATTAATTAAATATTTTAAAGAAAAATCAGTGGGATAACAGTAAATGAAATATCTGCTGTGAACATTGGCCTGTCGGGATGATTATCCAGCGATATAAATGGTTAAACAGGATGTGAAGTGATTATTTTTCACCAGTTTTTGCAAATGTAAACTTTATTAAAGGATTTAATATAACTAATCCTTTATTAAAGGATTGTGTCATGGAAAACAAATGGCATATCATTTTTCATGTTAAACTCTGCTATTCATCTATGTTTAAATATGTATACAATTTCAATAGCAATACTCAATTAAACTTGGAAGTGGAAAGTAATCCATTCCGGAATTTCATGGCAGACTGGATTTGTGAGATAGCATTTATGTCAGAATTCCCAGCAAATAAATAAATGAATTTGAAACTAAGCATGTCTCATTTTTCAAATTGAGGGAGGATCCAGCTGAAACCAAACCAAACATGGAGGAAGTACAGAAGTTATGCAAAGTTTGGTTTTGATTATGGCAGAGCATATAAGGTGACCTGCCTAAGGGGAGAGACACCTTTGTGAAGGATCTTCTGAGGGAAACTTTTTCTCATTCACATTACAAATAGAAAAACCATAAAAAAGGCCCATGCATCCTGTCCATTTGCTGGGATTGACACCTATTCCCCCCCCAAAAAAAATTATATGAAAATAATAATAATTTTGATTTTTTTTAATCCTTCTTCAAAGTAGGTGTTGAAAATATTCTGAAAGAATTTAAAAGGAAAGTATGATTGATTTATGAAGCAGTGTTGAACCAAAAGCATAATGGTACTGACTTTTATAAAAGTTAATTTCCCACTGATAAATTTTCATCCGTGACTGCTCACTCCAGAAGATATAGTAGAGTTTCATTTTTCTAAATTGTGTGTGTTAACAACTCTTTTCTGAAGTGAAACTTTTTAAAAGGGGAATATTAAAATCACCTTCATGATAAACAACTAAAAATTGATATTTTAATTGCAGTTTCAAATTGTCAACTAATGTTGAAATGAATGCTGATGAGAAACAAAGGAGTAAAGCTAGGTATTTCATCGATTAAATTTTGGCAGTTATTAATTTCTTTTTATTAAAATAGGTATATTATCTGTGTATGTATTAAAAGTATTACTAATAAGAAGTAAATGAAATTTCTAAAAAGTTTCATTGTATGTAAATAATAAGACATTCTGTGGCTTAAACTAAACACTTTTAATCAATATATTTAATATTGCATGCATATGCATAAAATATTAGATGTTCAATTTTAGTGTACTGTAGAGAAAAATTTTTTTATCATTAATTTACATCTTGTATTTTTTTATTTTTTTTATTTGCCATTCATATTTTAATTCAGTAATTTTTTATATCAGGATATGCCATAAATTAAACAAACCCCCCAAAAAAGTTTATATGTAAGAATTTTATTTTCAAAAGTGTGTGCTCTTATAACACAATTTCACTCTTATAACATAATAAGAAACTTATACAGAAACCTTTGTATATCACAGCAACACGATTTCATTCTAGAACATTAATAAATATGTGTTAATCCGTCATGTATGTACATACTTCAGTTACATGACAAACATTTATAAAATTAAGTTACATATTATGCCATCCTGTATAGTGGCGCATAATGACAACTTGTTTATTCATACACTCAGAAATAAAATAAATTCCAGGAATACCCATATTCTCTGACATCGAAATCCGTTTTACATTGAGTTGTGCCTATCATTTATTTATGTATCTTGTGCTCCAAGTGTTAAGTTGATAGATTGCATAAATTACATAATTGTGTTTTTTTAAAAGAATAACTCCAGAAGATATAGTAAACAAACTTGGGTGTATGTGTGTCTGTGCTTTATTATTTCCCAGAGTAATTATCGCGAAATTACATTTCATTCCAAACTATGTCTGAAAGTAAAAAAACAACTTTTAAAAGGAAATTTATTTCTTTGGAGATGACATTACAGATTTTGATTCCTTTTTAAAAGGAGAAAATACATCTGACATTGCATAAAGTCTAAATTTAAATAAAGCAACTATAAAAAGAAAAAAATTTCCCCCCCCTTTTTTTTTCTTCTTTTTTTAGTCCAAAGGGGGCATTAGCCCAATATTATCGCCCTGCGTTATATTTAAAGAAATTAAATAATGAAGAATCTACATAAATGTATGTATGTTTCTCGCATTGTGACAAAACAATGGTATCTAGAGCCATCAAATTTTGAATTATGTGCGTTTCCACCTGAATATCGGTATCTGGAAGTTCAAATTTGGAATTTGTTTTATTATCAATTTCATATTTTGTAAAACTTTAATGAATTTTTTATTTACAAACTAAACGATTTCAAAGTGAGCAATGCCAACACTGTACAGGGGGGGGGCATCTTTATCTCCAGTGCATGCGTGTGTATCTGAAATTCTAAAGATATGCTCATTTTAAAATTATTTTGCGATATTCCTGTTGAACCGAATTTTATGGTTAAGTGTGAAGAATATGATATTTAATAAATAAGTGTAACACACAAAATGTTAAAAAGAAAGGACCCTTTGGGCATAATGTAAAATCTGAAAACTTTCTCTCTCCCCCCCTTTTTTTGTGTGTGTAAAGTTTTCAGAATGCATCACTCTGTTTTATATTGCTTGTTAGTCTCATATAACAGTTTCACATAACACATTATTTTCTAGGAACCTATCTATCATGTTATGGGAAGAATACCTGTATTTGCATGTTGCAGTAAATTAAATATGTTTGAATTAAAATATTTATGAACATTTTGATCATTTCTTGTGTATTTAACTTTTTATTTTAAATTTTGACATAGCTGGCAGGTGTTATATTAGCTCCATTCATACAAGCATTGCATGATACGAATATGGTTGCTATTGTTCGTTATGTGTATTCGCCTCGCTCGGCACCCAAGATCGGATTCTTGTATCCCAAAATCAAGCCAAATTATGAGGTAACTTTTATTTCATAATTACAATTCTGATGTGTGATTAAGTAATTCATTAATATATCTTTAGGTGCTTGTGATCTTTTGTTTTTGCAGTGTCTCATATTCATTGCCCTTCCATTTATGGAAGATATGAGGCATTTTATATTCACTCCCTTAAAGCAAGAAAACACAGATTTTTATCCTACAGGTATAATTTACTTATAATTTACTTATTTATTTTTTTTTTTTTAAATTTGAGTATTATTCTGTAAAATTATAGCTAATTTTGGTGACATTTTCAGATGAACAGCTTAATGCTGTGGATGGTTTAATTACATCAATGGATTTGAGTGCTGCATCTGTGTAAGAATAATTCCCATGTATTTTTCATTTTGAAGTTCTTATTTATGATTATATTAACCCCTTTGACTTAGATTTTTGTCCCAAACATAAACATCAGGAGCCAGGCTTGTGAAAAGAAAGCTAGGCCAAACATAAACATCACAAGCCAGGCTTGTGAACATTAACATTGTAATTTCATGGTCATAATGAAATGTTATTTCGATCAGTACACCACAAGAGTTAGTCACCATAATTGCTGTTACAAAACAGTTTAGTTAGTAAAATTTAATAAACCCCTACAAAGTATAATATATTTATAATATCTGCAAAAAGCAGGAAGATTGAAGTTTACATCCACTAAGAATTAAAGTTTACTTACTTGAAGTGTTGTTCATTAATGAAATATGATTTTGAAACTCTTATTTGTTACAAAATATATTTATAATATCTATGAAAGGCAGACGTATTAAAGTTTACTTCCATGCCAGCAATATCGCACAACACAGGCATTTACATTTCAGGTCGTATTCTTAACTGTTCTCAAGCATCAGTTTGGCTTGTTTACCATGAGCTTACCCATAACACTTGAGCCCAAGTTTCGGTGAGGTAAATTGCATGGGAAGGGGTTAAGGAGATCATCCCAAAACTTTGTGAGGGCTATTACTTAAGAGCAAAATTTATTTGGGCATAGTGTACAATGTGTTATATTTATGATGGACACTTGATTTTTCTGCTTAGTCACCATAATGTTTAAATCATGATTTAAGTTAGCTATTTGGTGTCTGTTGCTAAACTGGTTACTGGGTTAAAAGAAAATCCTGGATGCCTCAATTGTGTTACTGTTGTTTTAGCATGTTTGTCATTCCAAAATCTGTGACCCATAAGCTGTTCCTTCAGGGCTGTGAAAGGGTGATGATTTCTTTAGCTCAGATCAGGACTGTTGTCGCTTATTCTCCAAAAGTCTGACTAAGTCAAACGAGATCCAAAAGTCCACGACACCAAGAAAATCGAAAACAAGAAGAGGATTGAAAATATGTCTTCTTTTGAGAGACCTAAACAATACAACATGTGTTTGGCTGAAATCTGATGTTCATGACACTTGGTGCAGGTGTCGATAGAGGCATTCAGATCTCACTCAAGTGCCAAGTGCTCATATGATTAGTCATGAAAGTGCAGTTCGCAAGGTCCTGTCACATGCAAAGTTTAGAGCCGTTTCCAGCCTGGTAATGAATGGAGGGCACCAATCACTTCATATATTTTGTGACCTTTTTCAGGAAGAATAGCTTCAAAAGAAGTAAGGCCATAGGAGGTGGGAATAAAATGAGTACAACCCTTTGCCATTGTCCATTTTGTCCATTGTTTCATTGTCAGAAATGTCTACACGACATGGAATCCACTTGAAATGGACATCATGATGCCAACAAAGTCACTTTAACCTAATTAGGATGGAAACAATGGCTTTATTACCAAGATCCAGTTGCTAAAATGTTGTAAGGAACTACAGCAATCAGATAAGACCCATAGATTGCAAAATTTCTTTACGGCTAGAATAACTTCGAGTTCCATGTCAATTGCTATTAATTCATTTTTGAAAATTGAACTGAATTCTGGATTGCATTGCAAAAAGTCGTTTTTTCCCAAGGAGTCTCGGTATGAAATCTGCTGCCTGCATTGTCAGCAAATTTGTTACCATCAGTGACTAATATGTTATGTATGATTTCCAAGGCCATCTGTTTAACCCTTTGCGGGGCAGAGTCAACCTTTGAAACCACCTGTTAAGAATTTTGTTTCTGAGTTGTGCAGTTTTTTTTTTTTCTTTTTTTTCTGCAAAGTTAACAACTATTGTTCAAACAACCAGGATATACATGGCTCATCGTACAAAATTGCAACCAACAAAATCTTCCACCCAACACAACTTACAGTCACTAATATGGAAAATAATGACAAAAATGTTACAAAGATCACTTTAGAAAACATTCTAGATGTTATTCTAGCAAAAGATAATATATATGATGATTCAACTGAACAAAGATTATTTTGTTGAATAAATTTTCTCCCTTTCTGTCATCCTCTCTTAATAATAAACTCCTAAATCTCCCTCTAGAGAACTATCGTCAGCTTTATTCTTCTTCTGTCCTTCCCTCCTTGCTCTATTCGGTTAGTAATTGGGAGCTATACCTGTGCAATCTTTTATGAAGTTCTGCAATCTTTTATGAAGTTCTGGTGTTTCCAACACTTTTACCTGTACCTGTGGTTTTACTATCTTAATATGCTTTTGACACTCAAAAGAACCAACAGATGGCAGCACAAAACAGAGCTTTTTTTCTGTATCAATTTATGCATGCTTAAACTTCGAACAAAGATAAAAAAATTCAATTTTTCTCATTAACTCCATAAAAATTTGCATCTCGTTACCCAAGTATAACTTATTAATTTTTATTTACATATACTTTTATTTGTAAAAATAGTAATATCGAGGGAAATCAGTAATAAATTTTGCATTTTTTTTTATAATTCACCATATGGGTTTCCACCGAAAACACTACCCTCTTAGTGCTAGAACATTCCTATGTATTTTCTGTTTGCTAAAGTGCGTAATGTGATCTTAGGGCTATTTGAATGTATTTTGTGATTGCTAAGGTGTGATGGGATCTATAATACGATCTTAGAGCTGAAATTTTTCTATGTATTTTCTAATTTCTAGGGTGTAATGTGATCTCTGCATTATGCAAGAGGGAGAGTGTGTTATAAGTATGGGGAGAAGGTATTGCCTTTTCCTTTCAGAGAAGAAAAATAAATAAAAGATTGAGCAAGAACTTTTCATTCTTTTAGTCTCTTTTTCCAAAGATAGAGCTGTGCCTTTTTACATTGTACCATTATGTAATTATCAGAGAGGCATCTCATGCTTTCAGAAGCTTCATAATTTATAAAGCTGTGTGAATATGTGAGTAATAACATATATTTTACATAACTTCTACATACCACTTTTGATTAAAATATGAAGATGGAATGTTATAAATTTTACATTTTTAGCATTTAATTAGTATATTTATACATTTAGAATCACATCATTTATGAAGCTCAAAGGTACTAGTTATCATTTAATTTCATTAAAGGCTGAAAAACTTTCAGTGTGCCTCTCAAATGGTTAAGGTGGCTAATGATAATATCTTGTTAGCTGAAGAAAAAAAATTAAAGTGAAAGTGAGAGTCTCTCCAAGGGATTCAAGCAGTGTTGTAGAGAGTAGGATTCAGTGTTACAGTAAGGTAAATGCTGAGACGTGATGTCACTGTTTTTCTTTAATCTTTAATGGTTTCCTTACTTAAAGTATGCTGATGTTTTGTTGTGTTGGCCATAATTAGAAAGTTTGGCATAATGTTTCATAAGGCCAGCCTGTTCTTCTAAAATGAAGAGGTTGCAGATTAGCCTCAAAAAGGGCAATTTCTGAAGGACAGCTCTTCCTCAGACCAGTAATGATGTCTCCAGCGCTTAATTGGATTTGTTCTTATTTCTTCAGATTGGTCTCAGAAGCACAGCAGTAAACTGGGAATCCAAACTCAAGACTAGGCCAGATGAATGCTAAATACATGGATCTATAAGTAACAGCATGAGCTCCCTAATCCCTACATGCAATGCATTCAAGAATTTTCAGCTGTTTTCTACGTTTGAAAGCAATATGCTCAATATATTTCTGACTTGTAAATTCAGGATCTAAAATGAACCCCAGATAAGCTTCTGATTATCTATCTTGCAGTGGCTAGCGCATAGCACAGCTGCACCACAGGTCCGGGGTTCGATCCCCGGACTGGGCAAGATCGACTTAGCCTTTCTTCCCTTGAGCGGGTCAATAAAATGAGTATCAAGTTCACTTGGGGACCAAACACCTGGGTTCCTGCAAGAAGCTGACCATTTGTCCAGAGCATATGCTGACACACTTCGGGCTCCAAGGTCAAGAAAGCAGATTTCGGGGCACTGCAGGCCATGCCCCACTAGGACTGTTGCACCACTGAATTTAGTTTTTTTAGATTATCTATCTAGCCTTAGCTTTGGCTGTTATCTGTATAAGTGCTTATTGGTAGAAGATCACTTCAAGATTACAGAGTAGATAGTTGTAAATCTAACGTCACATAGTTTGCAAATGTTCCCATGTAGATGCATATGCTGTCATGGAACTGAACACATTTTGTTAGCAGCCAGTGCCAACAATGAGTGTCTAGCCACAGATTTTGAACTGAAAAGGATGTCAAAGCAATGTGACTTGATGGCTTAGTGGCATAGATTTATATTTTATGCAAATTATTAAAAAAACTTGTCTCCCATGTAGACAGATATCTGAGGGGTCATTGCAGTTGCGTGAAAAAGGTTCATCACTAAATGCAATGTTTAAGTGCTATGTCCAAAATACCTATCGTAACCTCACTTTCAGGATGTTTCTGGTATTAATATATCTGTAAAAATGTATTCTTATTCAACTTCAATTTTCTGTCATAAACTTTCTATATATTTAAAGTAATTCTATTTAAACTAGGTGCTCTTTTTTCTTTTTTGCCTTTTCTTAGAGAGGATGATGGCAGTTTTTGTGAGAGCTTGAAACCAAAGACAACTGTTAATCCTTATTTACAACGGCTTTATCAGGTGAGGTTCAAAATCTGCTTTGTTTAAGTATTTAAAGTTCATGATTTTTCGTCCGTTTAATGTTTTTTAAACTTTGAATTTCTAAGCTATTTTGTGAACTTTTTTCAGTGTCTGCAGCACAGAGCTTTTCATCCAGATAAACCTTTGCCAGAGATTGCACCACAGATACAAGATATAATAAATCCTCTTCCAAATGTAAATATTTATTTATTTCATTTTTAAATTAATAAATGGGATTCTGATATCCATACATATCTAAGAATCAAGTAATAAATTTAAGATTTTCTTAACTCATTTATTTGTTTGCAATTTGTGTAATGTATAATTTGGTACATTTAGGTTCTTCAAAAGGCAGAGCCATATATGCAGAAGGTCAGGGCTCTTTTTCCATTAAAAGAATGTTTGCCAAAGGTACAAAAAAAAAAAAAAAAAAACATGAATTATCTTTTTTATTTAAATAGAATAAGGCCCATTTTCAAATTTTGCTTACATATGCTGTCCCATAAGAAAAGAAAGAAAATTCAAGATAAATTAATATTTAAAGTTTAATTTGACCAATTTATTGCATAAAGATGACTATAAATATGTTTCTGCAATTTAAACTATAAAGAAATGAATTGAAATTTTTTAGATATAAATCTTGAAAAATGTGATTGTAGGCAAAAATGTCCGTCCCTTTCAAGTTTTATGTTATTCAACCTCTTTGTTTTGTAACCTAATTTATTTTTTTAAATAGGGAAGTTTATTTATTTTAAATATGAACTATTACTGTGTTATATTCTTGATAAACATTAATTACAGAATTTTTTTTTTCTTTAGCAAATCAATAAAAATAATTTGTCTTCCACTTCATATCAGGAGTCTGTTACCTTGAGATTATTTTACCCACAATTAGTTTTTAAATCTGTCCTCAAAGGGGCAGCACATATTCAGAGTAGTCATAGCTTAAATTAGACAAGCTAAGTTTGTCTACTGTCACTGAATATGTACTGCCCCCTTTAGGGCAGATTTACAAACTAATTGTGGGTAAAATAATCTTCAAGGTAACAGATTGGGCATGAAGTGGAAGACAAATTATTTTTATTGATTTGCTAAATTTATATCTAAAAAATATTTCAACTGATTTTTTTTTTATATTTTAAATTGTAGAAATGTATTTATAGTCGTTCTTATGCAATACATTGCTCTAATTAAACTTTAAATATTAATTTTTCATTAATTTTCTTTCTTTTCTTCTAGGCCAATATATGAAAGTTAAATTTGAAAATAGGCCATAATCTCTATGCTGTTTCATTTTGCTAATCTATTATTTGAATAACTTGTCAATGAGCTGGTATTACCAAAATGTTTTTTGTGTATGCCCAGAGGGACCCAAAGCCCACTTATTTATTTATTAGTCTTAGTTGTTTTTGTAGGAAATTCTTTTTTGCACTAAAAATAACTGATATTCATTCAACGATCGTACTTTTGTAGTCAATGCTTTTTATGTGGATAATTGAGAAATTTGAATGAACAGGTTTAGTGGCTGAGCACAATGATGGCAAGGATGCCAAAACTATATTTGCTTCCAAAACAATAGTGGTGGGAAGAACCATTTGCCCAAGACCATCACATCTTTGAAAATGATAATGGAGAAAGACGCATCAACATCAACTCAACACTTAGTTCAACAGCTTGATGTCAGTAGAGCCATAGTGTGGAGAGTAGACCGCAAAGATCTTGACATTGACCCTTAGAAAATTCATCTTTCATTTGAATGCATGACTGTATTTTAACATGCGTCAAACAGTGAATGCTGGTTTCTGCTATCGTACCTTCTTTTCAATGAGACACACTTCTGAGCTTGTGAGTATGTCATTCACTAAAATTTTTGAGGTAAAATAACACACTAAATAAATATTAATTTGGAAGTCAAACTGTTTCTGTTGTCATTCCTTCCTTTCCATCAATTAGCTATAAAATTGCATGTAATTTACAGAAATTTAACTTCCAGGTCATTTATTCTCCTATTAATAAAATTCCGAGTTCCATACTCAAGGACCCCATTCCACATATGAATTCCTGGGGTATTAACAGGATTCCTTGCCAGTGTGCTTTAATTTACATTGGTCAAACTAAGAGAGCCTTAAAATTTCCTGTTAAAGAACATGAGGTGTATGTTAGGAAAAAGGAAATGCAGAAGTCCTCTGTTGTCCAGCATTGTTGGTCCGAAAATCATACTTTCCATTTTTCTGCAGCCAAAATTATTTAAAAAAATAAAAAAAAGATTCCATTGGTGAATTGGATTTTTTAGACACGTTTCACATTTAAAAAAATCTTTCTGTTCTAGTTAATGACCTGAATTCCAATCCATCTTTACCTTCAATCTTTAAGGAAATTATGTTTTAGTTTTCTTGTTTTATCAATAGATGGCACCAGTAGCTTATCTCTTGTCCCGGTTTTCTTATCTTATCTAATCATTATATCTTATTTTGTTCATTTGTGCTTTTGCAGCTGAAGATGATGGTTCGGTAAAACCATTGAAACAAGTCCTGTTAAGGTTTGCAAATATAATGCTGATTTTTGTTGATTGACTTCTAAATAATTAGGGTAATAAAATGCTTGAAATGGTAAAATCGGTTCTCTTCATTTTTAAAAGACATAAAATTAAGAGTCTTTGTGCAGTTTACTGACTAATGGTTTTTAGTCACTCTTTTTTTTTTTTTTAATGGACAATGAATTCAAAATGCTTGGAAACAGAGTTGTGCGATGTCTACTACAAACAGTAAATCTCTGACAAATGATTTCAGCAGGATTACAGCTTTTTCATATTTCAACAGGTGATGTTCTGGACTTATTCAAAACAATCCTATCATCCCAAGAGGCTTCCAGAATCAGTTTGGCAAAGGACTTTCTTAATTTCCTTTTTTCATTCTTGAGACACTTTGAAGCACACTGTATATAATATTATTACAGATTTTGTATTAGTTAGTTATTTTTAGTAGAATTGTAATTAAAATTGTTTTATTTCCCTGTGCAATGCAGCACATGACAAGTTTTAAGAGATGCTACGACAAAAAAGTAAAAATACAGGAGCATGCGCATTTAATAAATAGATATTTCATAATTTATATTTAAATTGAATAAGTGAAATTGTGTGTTAGCCCTAACTATAATTCTACTCTTTTGCTTTCCAGAAAACTGGAGAAAATAGAATTTACCAGAATGTTCTAGTGCTGATTTAAAAAGCAGGAGAAAAACATTTCACTTCAGTTGTTTACGTAGCTGCTGTAATTTGGAGATCGGATTAGCTTTCTCTGTGCTTTGATTTGTGTTCTGTTTAACATTTTACTAGTTTAAAATATAACTACTGTGTGATATTGTACAAATATCTGTGAGGAAAAATTTCAGCATTTTGTTTTATTTCTTGTGTAAGAATAAATTTTATGAACTTTTCATGAGACTTGTATTCAGTCTATTACGATTAAAATTGTTTTGTATGCATGCAACAATATAATTCAGATCTTAAACTCACTTTTATGAATCCTGAAGCAATTAATCAAAATAAATCACATGTATTTTCTTTTTTTGTTTGTTTAACTCTATGTTTTTTATATCTTAGTATAGTTATTCAAATAATTTTTCATAGGCAGCACAAGAACCTAAATTAGAAATTGAAGATCTCTGACAATACCCCTGCTGCTAAATTCTAGTGTTTCATTAGCCCTGTTAGTGATAAAGTCACTGAAGTAAGATGAATCTATTTGTTAATTTCTGTATTTTTGTTTTTATTAGCTTGTACTAAGGAAAGCTAAATTTCATCCTTTCATTTTTGTTTTTTATATACTTTTTCAGTAGATATATATATATGTTTTTTGTTGTTGTTTTCTGCTAGTCTTGTTAATGTTTGCTAGAGGTGAAAAACAAATATTTTGTAACCATGCAATATGTTTGTAGGTGCCTTTTCTGCATATTGAATCTGTACGTCTAGCAGATTTATTAATGGGGCTTTTTGTTTAGAAACTTTTGTTAATATTATTAGTATTATTGTCTGTTGATAATGAATATTGCTCAAATATTGTACACCTCATATTTCTAAATTTAGCTTTCTATATCAGTATCTATACTAATTAAATTTGTGCACGTCTGTTTGTGGCATTATCTCCTCCGGAACGGTGGGGACTTGAATTTCGAGACAGGTACCCCCGGATTCCAAAAATTCATGGAATGCCATTTCGATCATTCTCATCTTTGTACGACTTTGGTTACTGGAGATATTAATTTAAAAACTCTGAAAACACTAGTTTTTGCCCTAATTTTTCTGAGTGGCAACAGTCTTGCACGCTGGAGATAAAAATCTGCTTTATTTCGAGAAGTGTCGTCACTGCTGGCTTTCAAATTGTAGAGTTTGTTAATCAAAAATTTGAAAGTTTTACAAAATATGAAAAAAAAATAATATTACCAAATGTTAAACTTATTATTATATGAGGTTATATTCTGACGTTGAAGAAAGCATGCAATAGCATGCGACGTCACTGTTTGTCGAAAAGTGTTCATTAATGGTTCACATTTTAAATAAATAGCTGGTGTTGGCAACTTTTTTTATTTCAGGTTGGTATATATTGAGAAAGTGTTATATTACATTAAATTTAAATTGTGACATCATATCTATTAACCTGAAGTGTCAACAATTTTTGTTTCCTCGTTCAGCAGTAAAATTATTTACAAATTGACTGCTGCTTCGAAAGAATGAACTAATTTCTTTCATACTGAAATGTTTTCATACATTTGCTTTTTAGGGGTACATAAAACTTACAAATTTAAATTTGGCTTTGGCTGTAGCCAGCTCATTTGGCTCATTGCTCGCTAATTCTTTATATATAAGTTTTGCCTTGGTGGTTGTGTTTTTATTTGCACTATCTTGTTTCATTCAAAAAAAAAAAAAAAGTATCAGTGAGGAGATGACGAATTTGAATAAACTAAAGCTGAAAATCATCACCATGAGCTCTCGCACATCTAATCTTGAAAATAGTGAACATATGGCATGACTGAAAAATGACTATGATTTATCTTTCTAGCCAGTATTTTTTTTATTTAATTATATAAAAATTATGATAGTGCCAAAAATTATGATAGTCACAAAAGAGTGATCCAGATAGTAGGCTGAATGCGCAAAACATTCCTTCACAATTTAATACATTTAACATTGGAGATATGCAGGATTGCAGTGTAATGCAGGAGAACCCTATTATCTGTATACTTTGTAGGCTATTTGGATTTAACTGAAATCCAGGACTTTCCAATGATTTCACACAATCTCCTGTATTTCGAACCATGGTAACCGATACAGCTGCACTTAAATGCTATTATATACCAAAAAAATAAAATAAAGTTCACATTTCTTACCCAGTGATACTGTGTGCTTTAGGAAAAGGAGCCATTTTCATGCATTTGCATTGCTATACTAGTCCGAAGTAATTATATTACATTTTCTCACTAAAGCAGTCTAATTAAGAGATTTTTGACTTTTCTTCACATGCAGTGGGTTTCACAGAGTTTTGCATTCTGTTGACAAAAATTTAGGACCCTAGCTTCATACTTCCTTTCTAAATACAATAACATTGAGCAACTTTTTATTTTACTTCTTGTGCCATAGCACATCCTTCTAGAATAGGCCAATCCCTTGAGTTTTACATTCTATCGGTAAAACTTTGGAAACTCAGCCTTGTTGCATCATAAGTATTTATGGACTGTGATGTGGGCAGATAGTTCCTTATTTCCATAAGCTATTTATTATGTCATATTATTGTGCTTTGTTCCCATTGTGATGTTCTGTATGTGGTTCCTCGTATCCAGTGAACTGCATAGCTGTTGCATGATCATTTACCTTCATGATTTGTGTCCTGTAACATCCGCTTATAAAAATACGTGTTTAGGTACGATTCCTACCTGAATTCAAATTCCGTACACTGATATAAAGTTCATTATGTAATTACATAAAAACTGAGGATACTATTTTGTTTAAGTTTATCATTCATCTCAGCTCACTTTTCTGTATGATACTGCACATCAAGGTTTCAAACAAAATAAAAACAACTTGTTGAGCTACCTTGGTTCAACCACTACTGCCTCTTGCACATTAGCAACCTTTCTACTATCTTGCTATTACTACTTTTATTTAAACGACTGCTAGTATATGCAGTTTATTAAAAACTTCATTATTAATTTTAAAGTAATTTCTTTTTGACAAAAATGAGTTCAATAGCTGTGGGGATAATTTATGGAGAAGAAATGTTTCATATTTGCTGCTGGTGATAATAATGTAATGGCCGTATTTAATGGGAAGGAATTCTCCATTTCACTATGTGTCTTCTTCCTTTTCTAAGATAGTTATTAAATCTAGATATGAATATAGCTCTCAAAAATTATTTTTTACCTTTCTTACATCTGCTCAGGATATTTTTCAATAGTGACTCACAGCTAAATACATATCCATTCAGTATTCAATGATATTTCATGTTACAGGGTTTTATTTTTATTTCTTTCACAAAAAATGCTAATCTTTTTCAAGTTCTAACATTACTGCAATTTATTAAAAAAAACATAAATTTGCAATATCCATACATGAAATGAACATAATACTTGAATTAAAAAAAATTTAACAGTGCTGCCACTGACTAGCAGCATTTTTTCTATGCGCCCACCTTTTAATTTCAACCATTTTTAATTAATATATATGAATTCAAATAATAATTTGCCATCTGTTATATATTTAGAAAACTAAAAGGTGTAATTGTATGTATTTTAAAAAGAATTTTGCAGCTTTTGTCTTGGAGATAAAAACTAATGAAAGAGGTGAGACACCTGGCGTCCCACTGCCTGTCAAAGGGTTAAACTTTAAACATATCGTTACAAACGTGCTTGCAAAAGTTAAAAATATTTACGAAAAAACTACAAGAGGTAATAATTAAGGGATGATATTTCTAATTAAGATGATGTAATATACTAGTTACTGCAGAATGAATTAGTATAGTTTGTCTTAAATTTGAAAAAATAATAAAACAGTGTAGGTTACTTTATAATGTTGCCTTTGTTACATCAATTTGTATAAAATTGTAAATTACATCAGCATTTTATTTCATATTTCTTTCTTTATAGTCCTGTGCTTTTCTTTCATTATATAATAATTGGTTGATAATGGCGAAGCTCATAAGGGCTGCGAGGAGTGCCTTTTGGAGAAAACTTTCAGATAAAAACTTATCCAAACGAAAAGACTAAATAAAATTCAATATAGTCAACACATTTCTCTGGGAATTGAACTGAAATGAAAGGTAATGCTACCAATGTTTGGTAGTGCTATATGTTTGTCAACTGGTGGACTCAATGTATATTTACCTAAAAATTTTATTTCATTCTCATTGGAACACCCTGTTAATTTGTATATGAGTAATTGTGTTAATAATTTTGTAAATAAATTTTTTTTTAAATATGCTTGAATTTTTTTCACCCTTTTGTGTGTTCTTTTAACATTTATTCTAATGTTTGGAAAATAAGTGTCAAAACACCAAGCAAAATCATTAATATGTTGTTCTTTCCTCCTCTTTTTCATTCTTTAAAGGAAAATAAATTCTCAGCGATATTTCACTCACGCTGTAGTATACTAATTTATTAAGCGATTGCTCATAGAGCACTTTACCATTTTCTCAAAAATACATCAGATGCATCCGTCATTCCATTACAGGACAAGTTGTTATAACAGTTATTTTAAGTTTATGCCTCTCCTAACTTCAGCTTGCAACTCCCTAAAACCAGAATGTGTTTTTAGAATCGCGTTAAATGCAAATGAGAAGTACGGTAGTATCCACGTCAAGTTTAATTGACTTCACCAGAAAGTGTAAGGATTCCCGAATAGCATGTGTTTGCCTTTGGACTACATCTCTCTAAGCTGTTATTACCTTATTATTTTCCTTATTTTTTCTAAATTTTGCAGCACAAAGTGCAAAGTTTTTGACCACATAAGTCTTTTTTCGTTTGTTCTTTTTACTTTAATTAGTTTTAGTGAAATTATATGTATTATTTTTCAGTTATGTAGTTTCTTCAATTAATATTGCCTACATCCTTGAAAATATTTTACATAAATTTAAAATTACACTACTATTAAATGTTAATATTAACATTAAAAGATTATTATTTGTCTATTAGGAAAGACAGAGAAAAAAGCCAAAAACTTAAAATAACTGTTATAAAATTGAAATATACCTCACAGGGTAACAAGAAGATATTATGATTAAATAGAAAAGCTATTACACTAATATTAAATGTTATTTATACAAAATATATATTATCCCTTTTAATTATTATGTTAGCAGTTTAAAATTCATTTGTATATGATAAATGTTAACACAAGAAATGGTGCATAATGTAATGTAACACTGCATTCTTTGCAATATACACTTGAGTGTGACTATTCAATACTTCGCAGTATACTCAAAATCTATGCACAATAAAAGGTAGGTACACAGCCCTAGTCTAGTTCGTGTCCCATAAAAACAAAATCGACAAGTGATTGACGAAATTTAGCTCGTGTTTTTCATGTCTCAAAAGTACGACTTAGGATATATTAGATTTATATGTAGTGTTGTTTTAACATAGGAATTTTGACACAAAATCGGATTTATCCTGAAATGATACCATTTTTTTAAAAAAGAGACATTAATAAATATATACCACATTCAATCAATACTGAGGATCTAAAATCTTGAAAGCTAATTTTTTAAAAATTAACTAAACTCGGTGGCGCAACAGCCCTAGTGGGCCACGGCCTGCAGAGCCCCGAAATCTGCTTTCTTGACCTTGGGCCTGAGTGCATCACTTGCCTAGGCAAATAGTCAGCTTGTTGCAGGACCTCCAGTGTTTAGTCCCCAAGCGAACTTGTTACTCATTTTATCGACCCACTCAAGGGATAAAAGGCTGAGTCAACCTTGCCCAGCCCAGGATCCCCCGGACCTGTCGTGTAGCTACTTGACGTGCAAGCCACTTTGCCACCAGGCGTTTTTTTTTTAAAATTACTCATGTGATTTTTACAGTATTTGGCACTTTCGCTTTGAGTCATAGAATTGAAGTATGAAAAAAAAAAAAAAAAAATAGTATGTCATTTCAGAAAAAGTTTACTGATTAGTCAATGTTATATGCTTAGAGTTGTTTGCATGTTTCCTACCTCTTTTCTGACAGCTGCGATGATATAATAGTTACTCTTTTCAGTGCAACTTAAGGTGCAAAAAAAAAAAAAAAAAAAAAAAAGGTATTCCCATTCTCCTGGGCCGATTGACGAAATTCAACTTGTGTTTTTCCTGTCTCAAAAGTGTAGCTTAGTTATTCTGACACAAAACCGGATTTTTTCTGAAATGACATGCCAATTTTTTTTCCATATTTCGATTCTATTACTCAAATGATGCCAAACTGCCAAGTTTTGTAAAAATCGTACAAGTAGTTTAAAAAAAAAAAGAATGGCTCTCAAAATTTTAGCTCCTCAATGTTAATTGAATTTCATATACACTCCTTTGCAAAAAAATCGAAGTACCATAAAGGAAATGGTTGTTTTCGATGAAACTGAATATGTGTATAACTCATACACAGATAATAAAGTAATTGCTTACTAGTTAAGGAAGAGTATCAACCGCATGGAAACAGTCCAGAGATATGCGACCGGTATGTGGTGGCTTGGCTTTATCTTGTTGGAAAATGGCCCCAGGATGACGTACCATGAAGGGTAATGCAACCAACTGCAGTATGGTATCAACATATCGTTTAGCTGTTAAAAGATGTATGGGGGATGACTAAAGATGAACCGCTGTCATAAGAAATAGCACCCCACACCATCTTAGCAGGGGTTATAGGCTGTATGCCTTTGTAAGACAAAGGCTGATTTGGACCGCTGGCCTCGTCCTTTCCAGACACGACGGACGGAGGTCATCTGCTTCAAGAGTGAAGTGGGATTTATCGCTGAGACTATACGACGCCAGTCTGATGGAGCCATGATGATCGGCTGCGACACCACTCCAGACGACTCCGCCGATGTTGTGAGGTCAAAGGCAAACATCTCAAAGGCTTATGTGAGCGTAACTCCGCCTCAGATAAGCACCGTGAGATGGTGGACGGTATCACGGGAGGTATAGACGTGGCTGTAGTGCGTTGAATAGTCGACAATGATACCATTGGGGCAGTTCGGGCCTTTCCAGAGCCTTCATTTTATCGGCAATTTCCTTGTAACAACCATTGCTGCCAACATCTTTGCACAGCAGTGTGTACGTTGCAGGTGGCGGCCTATTGCTTGGTATAATCACCCAGCTTTACGCAACCCTACAATGCGACCACATTTGAAGTCGTTTAGTTGTCTGTAAGATCTTCGATATCGCTGTAATGACATCTTTAGTTGCTTCTTTATGGAATTACAATGGCAGCAACAAAAAAAGAAATTTTCCACCTCTATTACTGGTTTTATACTTTGTGAATTGTGCACTAGAAATGCACTTTATGAATGCAATTCCTGCCTTGAAACTTTGATCATTTGCATGTTCAATCAAGATGTTTTTGCATACCAAATTTCATTACGATTGCAAAAGTCCTTCTTTGTGCTTCGATTTTTTTGCAAAAGTGTGTATATTTATTAATCTCTCTTTTTTTTAATTAATCTTATTTAATTCTTCCTTTCACATTTTGAATAAAATTCGCCCATTTTTTTATTTATTTTTTTAATTTGTATTTTAAAATAATTTTTATAAATTTTTCAAAAAAGTTTCGAATTATAACCTATAATTTTTTTACCATCATCTTATGTAGATGTATTAGGAGTTTTTTACTCAAAATTTCCCAACATATATGTGAATTTACATATTGCCGCATTCTGAAATTTATCATATTTGTTATAAGGTATAATGATGCCAAATGTGGTTTACGCACCTTGTTACAATTACTTGAAAGTACAAATTATGACTTTTTTTCCACTCCTGTGTACAGGGTTCATACACATTTCTGCACACGGAAATTAAGGACCATTAATGTAAAAAATTAAGGACCTATGAGCAAATGGGAACTGAATAAATTCAATTGAAGATATTATCTATGCCTGAATTTCACTTTTGTGATACAAATAATAAACATCCTAAAAATAAAACATCCCTAAGTAATACGCATTATTACTAAACATGAATTAATTAACATAATTGTGAATAAGTTTGAGAATAAAAAAAAAAAAAAACTTTATGCAATTTATCAAGTAACATTAAATATTTTACACTTAAAATTAATTGGTCATATTTGAAAGAAGATAAGTGACATTTTATTTACGTTTTGCTAACAGTTAGCTTTATGTTTGCTTTTTTCTTTCGTGTCTTCATTTTGTCACATTAGCTTGGTTCAGTCTTAGAGGTTTAGTTAATAAGCAGGTAGATTTTTATGTCAAACTGGCATAGGTTATAATGAGAAGTAAGAGTCATAATCAGCATGATTCATAACAAAAGACAATGGTTGTTGCCACCGCTGCTGCTTGTCCTAGGCAGAGAGACCTGCTGATTAGAACAAACCTGAAATGCCTGATGTATAGGCACGGTTGGCAAGTTTTGAAAGATAGTCAGTGCTTTGCATGTCTGATGCAGTTAGTGTCGTAGTTTCATGTACACTTCCAGGCGTTGTAACCCAGTTAATATACTTTTAATGGTTCCAATAAGTCACATTAAAGCACCAGAGGGAGATAAGTTGTTTTGTATTATTTTAAGTCTTCAGTAGATGCAAAGGATTAAGTATGTTACATTAACTTGGATTTACATTTATTGTGCTGTATCTTGTGACCAGTGAGTATTAATGAAAGGCAATAACTCACTTTAATATGTAGAGATAATTTTTAAGGGTAAGCAGTTAGTTATAATTAAATTAGGTACTTTGATAACCTTAGTCATTATGGATTTACATGACCACTATTAAATTTTATTTGTTAACAATATTTATTAAAAAAGCCCTTTTAAAATCAAAATCTAATATTGCAGCTTTTAATATTTTTTGGAAAAAATCAATATGAGAATCCAGAAAAGGATTCTTAGCGATGCTAAAACTATTATTACTAGGCACACTCATAAAAAAAAAATTGCATTGTTTAAAGGTAGATTATATGCTCATATTTTAGTCTAAAATTAAAAGCTGAAAGTCAAAATTAAGGGGGTTGCTCTTAGAAAGCCTCAATTAGAAGTAGTTATAGGAAATGTTAATCAATACTTATAATCTTACGGATTAAACACTTATTCCCTATTTGATCATTTGTATGGCAAACAGATATTCGTCATTCATAAAGAAAAGGAAGGTGAATCAAAATGAGTTATATTCTTGTTTTTCCAACTGCAAAAACATCTTAAGATACTATCGGATTTAATCTTTAAATTATTCCAGTAATAATCAGAACAATGGGGGCCATTATTCTTAATTATAATTTACTAATGCAAATCCTA